CATCTACAACTGAAATGCCGCCACCCACCTTGAGATATGAGTTCTAAGGTTTTTGAAGGATAGCTGTCGGAGCACCGCGGTGTGCGAGGAAAGTTGATCTTCACGACGACCTAAATCTAGTACCGATACGTAACTATGTTAAAAAAGCGTCAGAACGTTACTTCGATAAGGATCATGGCCATATTATTGTTGTTCTTCCAGTTTTATTAATCTATGTTCTGTGGCTCTATATAACGTTCACATGTATTCACAATAGCAAAAAGTTTGCCAAGAACGTTATTATAAGAAATTGGAATGTATTATCTACATTTCAGACCCAAGCGTAAGACGTAACGCACGCGTCAAGATATCTCATAAGGCCCGACATGCACCGTCGAGCGCACTTCCTGTGAACCTGCCGCAACACGCTGTCTGTATACGGTGTTTTTTTGTTTTAGAGCAAGGGAAATTACGAATAAAGCATTTCATAGTGAATTGCTTGATATAGGCTTAGAGTCATTGTACCGCGGAGCACGGTTTAAATAAACAGCCACCATTCAATGAAAAGTGCCAATATAAGCATATGAGCATTTTTTTTATTGCTTAGATGAGTGGACGAGCTCACAGCCCACCTGGTGTTAAGTGGTTACTGGAGCCCATAGACATCTACGACGTAAATGCGCCACCCACCTTGAGATATAAGTTCTAAGGTCTCAGTATAGTTACAACGGCTGCCTCACTCTTCAAACCGAAACGAATTACTTCACGGCAGAAATAGGCAGGGAGGTGCTACCTATCCGTGCGGACTCACAAGAAGTCCTACCACCAGTAATAATTACACTATGTTTTTACACTAATTACAGTTATGATTACACTGTAATGGCTATCGTATCCACTTAACACCAAATGACCTGTGAGCACGTTCACTCACCTTTTTAATAGTAAAGAAACTAGATGAGAACTCCAAATTGCAATATTCTTTAACAAACACACTATTGAGGAAACCTAACCCCACGGTACAGAAGTCAAGGTCAGTAAACAGACACACACACAAATAAAAGATCAAACATTGCATTAGTGTAGAGTACCTTACATCAATCGCTTTAAAACAATAAGATCGACTGCTTTCGCGAGCAAAAAAAAGTTGAGAAATACTTATCCATTCTTAACTACTTGCTTCGTTTGAATCGATGTTAGTTACCAGATAAGAAAGACATCAGTCGAATTATACAAATCTTAGCAAGAGATTAACAACAAGGGATCTTCTTAGTTTGGTAGATGATTTATAGAGGGGGTGGAAAAATCAATAATTTTATTGCACTATATAAACAAGGGGTCTCAACATCGCAATAGTTCAGTTTTGTAGATGTTTTAGGCAATACAACATAATATAATTTCTCAACATCAAAAACTCAGCCTATATAATACAATACAAATCTCGATCCTATATTTCAAGGTGTATGAAGGCATTGATATTGTGATTTATTTAGGTTCCGATAGCCACATAATACTACTTGGGCCACGGAATAGATAAATAAGGTCTATTCCGTGATTTAGGCCATAAGCTCGGAACATATCAGTTTCATTTTTAATTTCACTAAAATAAATCAAAACAACGGTGAATATAAAATCTCTATTATATCCATAAAGTACAATTTATTGGAAATGAAAATGAACTGATTTTTTTTTTATGAAAAAACTCATTACAAAATCCATTAATAAATTTGAAGCCCCTCATTAGGTACTAAACAAATAAAACGCAAAGAAAATCGGTTGACAAACGCGATAATGATATTATTATATTCTTAGCTGTTTTTTCTTTGCTTATTTGGTTAAAGACAACATAAACCATCTTCAACATAATATTAAATCGTGAAAAAAAAATCATTTCTAGATTTAGCAATAGTAGTGCGGATCGAAAACACCACAAGTTTAAGTTTGAAATTAATTCGTTTTCGGCCTTGTACTCAATTTAAAAATGAACATACAAACGGCGAATATGTTTGTGCGTACATAAATACCAACCTAAGGTCCAAATCACCATTAGCCAACATAATTATTTGCTTAATTCTTAAAAAAAAATCTACGTCGATGTCCAGTACAAAAATTAATAAAAATAATAATAATCTTAAACTGAAATTGAGTACCTAATTAATATTCTTCAGATCACAAGAAATAAAACATCACTAAGCCACGACAGTGCATACACAAAAGAAATTAAAAACATTATGTGTTCAAAATGCAAACAAACATAAAAACCACGTCATTATTTAAAAAAAAAAAAACTACGAGCGTTTCAAAAAAACGCGGCAAACACGTCACGCGCTCATAACGTCACTCATTTATCTATCGGACGAAAATGGCTGACAAGCGCTCTGTTTATGCCATGGTTTATTTTTATGGTCTTTGCATGGGGTTGCGGCCATAATTCGGGCTGGAGCGGGTGAAATTATTGGATCCGCGCATGCGTGGTGGTCGCGCTCGCTAAATACGCAAATAAGCTGTTATTCATTTTAGAAACGAACGTATCGCGTGGGGCGATTATTTATGGCAGCGAAATGCCATGAATGAAAAAAGTTATATTAGTGCTTTACGTTCGTTTATGTTCATTGATTTCTAGTCTTGGCACTTTCGTAAGTGGTATTCGAGTCTCAAATAAGTTTGAGGCAATTTAAATAAGTACACAATATATTCTTAATATACGACGAGTTTCAAAATTGACCAACAAAGCACTTCAAAAACAATATTTAGTAATGTCGATTTATGGATATGAATGCGGAGTGTGTTAGTGAAATTCCATATCAGTCCACACATTACTCCACGACCAGCATAGATTCGTACGTACATACATATGCGTCCCAGGCGTCGGGGCAAAGCAATGCCGCTGTCACCCGAAACATGTCTTGTCGGATCACCCGGATCAACTCTTGGTCCTTTGGAGCCTCTCAAGCACCGGCCACGTCGAAGTTCGTCGGTCACGACGAAGAGTTCTGCAAGCGAGCTGACCCATAGACATTCAGTGAATCGCGATCCCTATCCGGTGGTAGATTCTGAGAAGCACTGCTCTTGCTATGGCTAGTGTGTTAGCAAAAGCTCTCAGGTTCCATGAGCTCGCCTACCCGTCCAGGCATAGGCTACCAGCAAATAGGTTGGGAAAAAAGATACACCTAGGCACGAGGACTGCTTACTTATACTTGTTATAATGTATTCCTTTTAGTTTTATTATATAGAAATTTCTAGATTTCAAATAATGAACTCCACGTGGAGACAGCAGGGCAGAGTTACCCAGCCTATATTATATTTATTTCAATAAAAGACAGTGCCTAATTTTAGCACTAGCAATCATAAAATGCTCATATGCTCATTTATGTTGGCACTTTTCATTCAATGGTAGATGTTTATTTAACCCGTGTTCCGCGGTACAATGACTCTAAGCCTATATCGAGCAATTCAATATGAAATGCTTTATTCGTAATTTCCCTTGCTCTAAAACAAAAAACACCGTATACAGACGGCGAGTGTTGCGGCAGGTTCACAGGAAGTGCGCTCGACCGTGCGTGTCGGACCTTATGAGATATCTTGACGCGTGCGTTACGTCTTACGCTTGGGTCTGAAATGTAGATAATAAATTCCAATTTCTTATAATAACGTTCTTGGCTAACTTTTTGCCATTGTATTCATAGAGCCACAGAACTTAGATTAATAAAACTGGAAAGACTACAATAATATGGCCATGATCCTTATCGAAGTAACGTTCTGACGCTTTCTTAACATAGTTACGTATCGGTACTAGATTTAGGTCGTCGTGAAGATCAACTTTCCTCGCAACGTTTTGAAGTTTTAGAAGGATAGCTGTCGGAACAGCTATCCTTCAAAAACGGGATGAGATGACCTGGAAAATGCGGCTCACAATATTCCCTGCCTTCACTACATTCGTAATTGACGAAAAGCTTCATATTTTTTTAAATAACTTTTGAAAAAAAAAACCATATCATAAACTACATTGAAGTTTAAAAAATAAAAAAAAAACAATTTCATGAACATCTAAATTACAAAACTCAATACTCTGTATGAGTAATCTTCTTTGAAAAAGCCGAAACGACACGTGTTGCAAAAAACCAAACACGCCAGACTGACTACAAGCACGTAATTTAAAAAAAAAAATTAAGGTACAACAGCATGAACCAAACCATGAACAAAATAAAAACGAACCCTAAAGCTTTAATTCGAAGAACAATGTGTAAATTAAGTTTTTGTTCAACAACAATAAAATCAAGGGAGCAACCCAAGCGTAAATAGATAAAAAATAAACTAAAACTTTGACCTTTTATTAATGACCGAGGAAATTATAACACCAAAGAATACTTGGTGCCACAGCTTAAATTGTAAAAAAAAAATAAAAAAAAATTGCTTTGGTTTTTTAGTCCACAGGTTCCGTATTTCTGCCCGGCTTTTATCTCACCTCTCTACTACTCATCCATAGTAATAGTATATTTTATTAGGCAGTAGGATCTCCAAAATTTCAATGCTGGTAGGGCATATTGCAGGCCAAGAAGGTACAACCATTCTGCCTATTTCTGCGACCGGGCATTCGTGCTTCAAGGTCTAAGGGCTTAAGCTTCGTATAATAGGATTCCAAAATACGAACATGCAATGTTGATAGGAGGCATTAAATAAAAAAACTCCTCCGCATATGTGTAAAAACCTATATACCTCAAATCATAAATTTGATATTTCTTTTTTTTTATTAATTTGTGAGTTACAAATGTCAAGACAAAGCAAATCAGTGGAAAGAACACTTCACTCAAGCATTTCTCAGTTTTGAAATTATAATTCATCCAATGCATTAAAAAAAAGTAAAAAGATAATTTTTAATAATCATCAATAATTGTAAAAATCCAGAAAAATGACATTTTTACAAAACGAAGTTAAATACTATGTCAATAAACACTGAATTATGTTAAAAATAGAAGTATAAATGAAAACAGTCGCTATGTTACGATGGGTTCACATGATTCACATCACTGATTGCACAGCTCAAACGCTTGTGAGCAATCTTTATCTTTGCATTTACAGTTTTCGTCATGACGTTCATTTCTAAAGAAGTCTTTCGGAGGATCTGTAACAAAATTAGCACCGCTTATTCTAGTGAGCTGCTTAAACTTATTTATTGTCAATTTCATTGAATTGACCGATTTTTTTACTTCAGTTGACTGTCAATTTCGCCAACATTAGTTAGTTCTAGAATAAATTCTAGTCATAAACACAATCGTTATGCCATTAACGTTACGACATCTAAAAGTCAGTAAACGGTGACCAGTGTGCTTAGTGCGACTTTTACGTTTGCCGCTAGGGGCGCTGTTCCAACTTCATACAAATTTGAGTTAACCTTTACGCGATCGAGAAGTTAAAAAACTCGCGCTAAGCAAACTAACCATCAGGTGGGCCGTATGCTCGTCTGCCTACAGGGGCAATAAAAAAAATAAAAGATAAAAAAAAACGGATGATAAGCAGATGATATCACTTCACGTTTTGTTGCTGGTAAAGCTCTTTATAAAAGATATGTAAAAAGCTCGGCGCTACTTTATTAAGACTTAATCAATTTTATTCAGTGACATTAGATTGATTCCTTACTAATGTGCTGCCATACAGACTGAAAACATCATGGAAACGCCTCGCTACCTGCGTCAGCTTGAAGAAACATCTACTATTTTCATCATCATTTTATCAGCCACAAAGACCAGTTTCTCCAATAATTGCAACGCGATCGGTTGACGGCGGCAAATATCCACCGTAGACCTTACAACCTCTATACACATCTCTTATGAAATACATTCATAGAAACCTACTAGAATATTATATAATAAAGCCTATTTACCTATACAATTCAAACAAAAGTAATGCTACCTTTAGATGGCTTGTAAAAGGTACGAAAGTAGGTGAAGTTGATGATTGTATCAATTATAGACTTTATACCATGACAAGATAAAAATTACTTCGATACAATGCAACAAACAAACCTTCAGTTAAATCATCGTCATAGTAAATCATAAGGGCAGGAATATAAAAGTTTTCAGGCAGAGCCACGTTACTAAATTTCTCCCTTTCGTCTGGTATGCCGTTCTCGGATAAAGTTTTGTTGTATTTTATGGATCGTCCGAGGTAACGCCAAGTGTAAGACATCATGTGAGAGTTGTGACGGAGATAACGCATCATTATCTGATAGATTGTTTCCTCCGAGCAAACCTCAAGGGTCACTGTAGAACCTGTTTGTTCAGTAAAATAATGGCGAACATTTGCAATCGGTTTATTTAGTTTATTTTTAGAATTAGCAAGGTCTTCAAAAACAACCACTTCATTTGTGGTGTGTCTCATTTCAGGTAATCAGTCTAACTAATCAGATAAACTGTAGGTAGGTGGTACGACGTTTTGTGAGTCCGCACGGGTAGGTACCATCACCCTGCCTATTTCTGCCGTGAAGCGTTTTGGTTTGAAGGGTGGGGCAGCCGTTGTACTGTTAAAACGGAGACCTTACAACTCATGTCACAAGGTGAGTGGCATTTGCGTTGTAGATGTCTATGGGCTCCGGAAACCGCTTAACATCGAGTGGGCCGTGAGCTTGTCCACCCATTTAAGCAATAAAAAAGGCATTAATCATAGAAATACCATATTCTAAAATCAGTAGAAACAGCATACTAATTTTCCGACGAAATTACACAAGTTCAGCACACGTACCAGTCAAAGAGTTAGTGATCCGTATCGGTCTAGTTTTGGCCGTAACTTTTCCGACTGCAAGGCTTTCGTCTTGCCACCATGGCTTGGTAAGAGGACGCCAGCGTGTCGACGGTACAACCGGCTGCTGGTGGCTGTGACCGTGGCGCTGGTAAGTCGTTGTGCAGCCCACAATCGGGTGGGTGTACTGAATCCATTCATCTCCTTTAAACCAGTGGCTCAGATCCTTTCCGGCGTAAGCTAGGATCGTCATTGCTCGCTGTCGAAAACTACCATTTTAGGAACTTTGAAGAAATCATGCCTTGTTATCGTGAGCTTATAATCAATTGTACTTATTAACGAGGTGATTGAATTCAAAAAGCCGCTTCGAACATTTCTGAGAAAACTATTATAAATATATTAAAACACTGATTAAGACCTGAACGATGTATGATCTCAATGATGATAAAAATACCAAAAGTAAAGTACTCTAAAGCATATCTATGACACAGCTCGTTGGCCATTGGTTTTAATGTCACAAAAAAACGCGCAAATTATTAATTCATTAGTTTATAATTAACTACCTTTACTGGTTACATCTGGCGTATTATAATTGTTATTTTTTTATATTATTTCAGACGTTTCGAATATTTTAGAGTTTTCATGACCTACTACCACCACGACGCTTAACGCGAAATTAATCCATATAAGTAGTTCTAATTACGGAAGAGCGCCAGCTAGATGGGTGGACAACTCAAGGAGGTGACTGGAGGCCAGATACAGGGAGCGGTACATATGGCGCAGAACCGGACCGAGTGGAGAAGATTGACATAGAGCCACGATCTTCAGCATTGAGGGAACGACCAGAAAGAAAGAAAATTATGACTTGCTAAAACCGAAGATAATGCTAATTTAAGAATTATTAAGATCTACCCTCTTTCTGTCACAATACGGGAACCCTCGCTTGAAGCAAGGGCAGGTTTCCACGCAATCATCTTCGCAGTACCAGTTCTTGATTTTACACGAGCATGCCTTAATGCACTTGCACACTCTGAACTCATCCTGCAACCAGGAAGTTAAGTCCAAGACCTTTCCGTTGACGGAAACCCAACAATCTGTCGCCTTGTTGTGAACGGCTACCTCGGCCGGCGTGTACCACTCTTGTTTAGTGTATTTCATTGGGTTATCTCTATCTTTGTTGAAATTTTTTGACAGGACTGTCATTTCGATAGATGACTTTGTGCTTTATGTAAATAATTTTGATTTGTTGATTTATGGAGGGTTTAATCTTTAATCCATAGGCTCTGAAACTTTTAACTCCATAGATTTTTGTGACGTTACATAACTTTTATACATATTTTCTTCCCATCTTATCACGCATTGTTCTTCAAAGATTCGTGAGCGAATGTGATTTTATATTTCAACCATCACAGGCTCTAATCAAGTCATTAGTAGAGGCAGAATAGATTTTGTTTTCTCAGACATTGTCGTGAGCCCCCCTAATGGAAAAAATTCCCTTTGTCTTTTACGTCCACATGATGTTTCATAGTTTACTAAACAAACTTTTAAATCAGGTCTTTTATTCATTTCATTAATGTTCGAATCACGGCCCACTTTTAACTACCATTACCGGAGACAGCCTCATGTATATGAGCTGCTCATTAAACCAGAACACGTCGCTCTTACCCCACGTACCTACCTAAGCTGATAGCCTTGAGAGGCTATTTCAGCGTAACCTTAGCTAGTAGGTGAACTCACGGGGCTCAAACCGGAGTGATGCTAACACTGACCCTAGCTAGAGCAGTGCTTTGCAAAATCTACCACCGGATCGGAAACGCGACCCACTCGAGAAACTCAGTGAGCTGTCTGTGGGGACCCCGCCACTACTACCATCCGTATTTATAAGCATTTTTGAAGTCTTTTAATTTTAACATCACAATATTGAGAAACATAAACGTAACCACTAAAATTAAATAAATAAAAAAAGTTTTATAAACAATATACTTTATTGAACGTTATATACAATTGAAAGAGCTACGTGACCTATTGCAGGTAGCTCAGTCGTCTTTACAGAGTAACAAAATGAAAAAATATTGCTATAATCTGTGAACGTAAAACTCCGACAGTGACATGACAGCGTCGCCGCGTAGTACAAGTGGCGCCACCACGCCGGAGCTATCGGTCCCGCTCATTCGTTCGTTCCATCAGCTGGCACTAAACTCAACAATGATATCTTTGTTTTATAACGTTGCGAGGCACTCTCGTTAAAGATAGATCAAATCAAAAGATGAAATGCTATATGGTTTTAGCGACATTTTTGCAAATATACAGGACTATATAAAGTTTAAAATTTCGAAGAAAAATCATGAAAAAAAGCTTCTTCAGTTTTTTGAATGTGGTAAGCATAGTTCAAATTAAAAACATCGAATTGTTAATACTAATAATAAATAAAAAAGATCTTTAATTACAAAGATAAAAGTCGCGTTTTAACCGAAATGTCGCTCGAATCAAATAAGTCTCACTCCTCAAAATATAAAATGTATGTAAACGAATCTTTAATTGAACTATTATAACTATTTCTATAGTGTTACGACATAGGAAAGGAACAATTCTATATAAAATCTTGTTTGTTTATAATTTTGTCACGTTACGTGGTTTCAATATTTAATCCTAGATCGGTTTATTGGTGTCATGACGTGGGCTGATGCGGCACTTGAGACAAATGTTTGACGATGTCGACCCAATCCCATCCGCGGGGTTTCTCACCGCCCTTTCCTAGTTCAGCCTTGTCCCACGCTCGGCGCTTCTGTGCTTTCGTGAGCTGCTCCTTCTTTTCTGGTTTTTTAGTAGTTTCCGTCTGTGAAAAAAAGTACAATTCTTCAGCAATTGCGACGTAACACAAAACATTCGTCTACTGCGTTTTTTTTTTTATTGCTCATATGTGTGGACGAGCTCACAGCCCACCTGGTGTTAAGTGGTTACTGGAGCCCATAGACATCCACAACGTAAATGCGCCACCCACCTTGAGATATATGTTCTAAGGTGTCAAGTATAGTTACAACGGCTGCCCCACCCTTCAAACCGAAACGCATTACTGCTTCACGGCAGAAATAGGCAGGGTGCTGGTACCCACCCGCGCGGACTCACAAGAGGTCCTACCACCAGTAATTACGCAAATTATAATTTTGCGGGTTTGATTTTTATTACACGATGTTATTCCTTCACCGTGGAAATCAATCGTAAACATTTGTTGAGTACGTATTTCATTAGAAAAATTGGTACCCGCCTGAGATTCGAACACCGGTGCATCGCTCAACACGAATGCACCGGACGTCTTATCTGTTAGGCCACGATGACTCAAAACTGCGTGTGTGTTTTACGACCGTGTAGCTAACAAAAACAACTATTAATAATTAGTATAATAATTACAAATATAATCACTAATAGATATCAAAATATTTCAATATTTCCAATGTTTCGAATAGTTGACAGTTATCATGGTCACTGAAGACTGAGGTGTTATTCAAATATTGTCTTAACCGCAAATTTCAATATTTTCTTTTATTTTAAATAAATTAATAATAAACACGTGATTAAGCCGTAGTAGTACTTTTAATCTATACTTCTTTACTAATATTATAAAGAGGAAATATTTGTTTGTTTGTATTGAATAGGCTCCAAAACTACTGAACTGATTTGAAAAATTATTTTACTGTTTGAAAGCTACACTATTCCCAAGTGACATAGGCTATAATCTTTTTTGAAAAAAATTAGGGATCCTCACTAAAACTCCAATAATATAACCCAAGGTGTAAAAAAATTACCTAAAATATTATTTACAAAGGGTGTCGCGAGAGCATATGTCTAACTATTATAGTTATGCCGCAATAAGTGTTGTTTTATTTTTAATATTGTTAATATTTTTGTTAAAGGCCTGAGCGGAACCGCTACTTTTAAATAAAGGAATACCTGATCATCTATCACGATTTTTTCGACCCTGGTGGACACGACCTCCTCGACCTGGCCAGCCAGTATCTCGGACACCCTTTCCCTGAGGCACTCAAACAGCGTGTACGTCATGGCGCAGCCGAGCCATTGTTCCGCTTCTGTGTTCAATATTGATAGTATGTTTTCTTTTACTGTTGCTAACCTGAAATTAATTATTAATTAATTAATTAATTAAATTATTCAGTACTATTGAAGTATTCCAGATGGTCTGTCTTACAATTACGGCACAATCGTATTTATAGTAAAAACCAAAACTATATCTATAACTATAACATATAGTCCATAATAATTTGCGCAGGAGTTGCCGCCCCTTTCAACATGTCCTCCGCCTGAAGACAATAGATGAAAGCGTGGCCATCTTGTGTCTTTACGACTTCGACAAATAAGATGCGCCGGCGACATGTTGCAGGGGGCGTAGTTTAACATTCTTTGCACACGGCACTCGGATCACCTGATGATGTTGGGTTATTTTCCACAAAAAATACAACATTTTATTAGCACTATAATTTTTTTCTTTTCTAACCTTTCTTATTAAATCTCATCACAAGTTTATTCACTTTCATATGGAATATGACAGTTCCTAAAGTTTTGACAAATATACAAACTTTAATAAGTGTTTTTTTATAGCAAAGAATGGTGTATAAAGCCACAGCTCACCTGATTTTAAATGGAACCCTTAAACATCAATACCCATCTTTAGGCATGATAATTACATTTTGTGATGTGATATCGATTTCTATCCCAAATTCTTAATTGCATCTATTGTATATGTATTTGCTTTATACCAGAAACTCATAATAGAATCTAATACTGAGCTTGTGTTTGATTGCTATTAAATTTAAAAAAAACTTACAAGTGTTGATTGTAGAATATTTCTAAGTTAAAACTTGGCTTCTCTGTTGGATACTTTAGACCCCATGATATTTCTAGAATAAATGACTTATCACCGTCCATATACTGAAAATATACAATAAACATAGTTAGCCCTTCATTTCAATATTAAGCCAACAAACCAATTCAATGATAGCTCAGGATTGATGCTCAGGATGACTCTTTATGTGGTAGCGTGCAGGTTAAAGGTACTTAAATCAAGCTAGCCTACATAGTGAAACTTTCTTGCCATTCAAGTAGATTAAAAGCCTCATTCAAGATCAAATTGCTACTAAAAGACCAGTAAAATATTAAGCGATTTACATTCAACTGGCCCTAGGATCATCATGATTTTCTTAATGCTATTTTAATCTGTATTTATTAATTTGGCTAATTGTGAAATTTAAAAATTTAATTACAAAAATAATTAAAATTATCCTTTGCAAATATTTTTGTTGTTTTAATTACAATACAACTAACCTTGTACTGATAAGTTTTAGCATCCACCTGTTTAAAATTGTCATCGCCCTCGTAAATCGATTTTAATACTTCAATTTCCTCCGCCTGCTGCTCAGCTTCATCAGACATGATTCAATATCGTGAACTGAAATCATATTTACAGCAAGCGATCAGGATCTGCTGAATTGATTTTAAATAATACCCTTATCTTTTTAAACTATCGTGCCACTAGCTGCTGAATCAAGCCCCTTTAGTCGTCTTAGGTTGGTATTATAATGTCTGTGCAATTTGTTACAAACACAAAAGAACACAAAGAAAGTTTTTTATTTTTAAGATGAAAACAAAATATACAAAGAAGGAAAAAGTAAACAAGATATAGATAGTACAATGAGATGTGATGTCCAAAAGATGTGAGTCCCCACACCCCTGCCACCTAGAACTGTTGCTTACATAAATAGTACATTTCTCATCATGTACTACACTTACGTTTCGCTAATTGTTTAAATGATTTTCTAATTTTGTAAAGTAAGCATTATTAGTAACATCCTGATTTAGAATTTAGTAATACGATAGAAAATCGCATTTTTCAAAATTTTAACCTAAATTATTGGTTCAGGACAAATACTATTTTCATTAAATATTCGTCTAATTGTATAAAATTTACACAGCACGAATAGCAGCTTTACAATATTAAATTTTTAATCACAATAATTAATTTACTGCTATAATACTTACCAATTTCAATAATGAAATTGGAAAAAATTAACCCAGAAGTTTATTCATAAAACGTAAAAAGTGTACGCCTTTAAAATTTCATTAATCGAAAAAGGTATCTATAATAAACATTTGTATTGTTTAGAAATAACTTTCATTTTTATATTCTATTTATGAATAGATTTTTTGACACTAACTCCTAAATGATTTTGACGTAAAATGATTACCAGATAACCTCATTTTACAAAGGTCTATGCATTATACAGATGGCCAAAATGTCATTTTAACTCATAGAGTGAGCATGGGTTATTAGATACTATCAATACCAGCGTGACCACTATCGCTAGATTCCTAATACTAAAATAAAATACCTAATTATGTCATATCAATCACCATCTTTATCTATATTGTGACTTATATTTACAATTTAATATATTGAAACAATTGATGCGTCAGATTTTTTATGTTTATCTGAAGAAAAAAAAATCGGATCAAGATAGAAATCTTATTTTGTTTTTTTTAATTGTTACTTTTTTTTGTCATTATATTAAAATAGCAATTTAAAAAATTTTTTTTAGTTCGAACCTATTATTAGCAACAATTATTACAATATAATGCAGTCTGTCACATAGAGTAAGATTATTTTATTATATAGCCTGTCTGTCACATATTCAAACTAGTTCAACTAGAGATGTACGGAATTGAACAATTTTGCTTTGTCAGTAAGTATTCGGAATACTTCAGTATTCGTTGTAGAACACAAACTGTAATGATAATTACAAGTTACCATTAAATCTGAACTAGTGCACAATAGCAAAACTCAGAGTGAAGGAAAAAAAAAGTTATATGAAAGGGGCATAAAGCTTTTTCCCTGCCTGAGAATGTATAACAGCGAACTACTGCTGCAAACATGGATAAAATTAAAATTTCGTCTTAGAACCAGACGTTATATTCTGTACTATCTGTGAGATCCCAATTATCAACAATCTCCAAATATCTGTTGACTACCAACAATAATTGGGACCCTCAGTCCAAAATTGAAAACTACTCTACAAATAACTAAACTGTTTTTTATAGTACAACGCAAGAACTACAAGAAGAACAGTGCTTGAGGCTTGAGTAGTATGCAAACTTTTTACTGGTGGTAGGACCACTTGTGAATCCGCATGGGTAGGTACCACCACCCCGCTTATTTCTGCCGTGAAGCAATAATACGTTTCGGTTTTATAATAAAACAATGTTTTCAAGACATAGCATAAAATATAATAATGATAGGTAGCAAAAATGACAATGTGTTTGAAGTATATTTCAAATAATGGAATATGGAAAAGAAGGTTACAACATTCCTCCCCATCTACATCTCGTTGATCAGACGGCGGGGTGCCTGTTTAGGTCGATTACTTCGACGCGGAGCAAATGGCACAGGAGTGGAGACCGGAGCAGGTGAGGAGTATAACTTCGAATGCTGTGAAGGTGAATTTGGAGAAATTTGTACATTTGTAGGCGACTGCGGTGTAGGTAATGGTACTGCTGCCGAATTCTTATTGTTAGTTAGCCTTTCGCTAATTGATGTTTCCATTCCAATGTCTGGAGAAGCAGTCGTCGNAATCGTATGCAGACTGCGGGTCGGTCTGCTTGCCAATGCAATATAAATATTCCGAAAATGCCTACGGACAGTTTCAAAATCCCAGCCGTACCGTCTTCTCGGCCTTTATGTTCAAAAGCAAACGCCAGTGACAACAAAGACCAGACTTCTTCAAGACTTGAATTGAAACGTGACGATAAAAAGAAGACTTGGTCACTATCGGACTTCGATCTAGGACGACCGCTCGGTAAAGGGAAATTCGGCAATGTGTACTTAGCCCGTGAAAAAGAATCTCACTATGTCGTCGCATTGAAGGTTCTTTTTAAAAGCCAAATCTTGGATTCAGAAATAGAGCACCAAGTACGCCGTGAAGTTGAAATCCAGTGTCGACTACGTCATCCGAACATCTTACGCATGTATGGATACTTTCACGATGAAAAACGAATTTATTTAATATTAGAATACGCGAAACATGGCGCCCTTTACAAATTACTGAAGGAACGCGGCCGATTTGATGAAAAAACCGCTGCAATTTACATTCGTGATTTGACGAAGGCCCTTATTTATTGTCATACCAAGAAAGTTATACATCGTGATATAAAACCGGAAAATTTATTGATTGGTCACAACTGGGAACTTAAAATTGCTGATTTTGGCTGGTCCGTCCACTCGCCCTCATCAAGACGGATGACATTGTGCGGAACATTAGATTACCTGTCACCAGAAATGATTGAAGGAAAACCCCATAATTATGCAGTAGATATTTGGAGTTTAGGGGTTTTGTGCTACGAACTGCTTGTTGGATTGCCGCCATTTGATGCCAAGGACTCTCATCAAACTTACAGAAAAATTAGATATGTCATAATTAAATATCCCGAATATATTTCTGAAAAAGCCAAAGATTTAATGGGAAAACTTTTAGTGATCGAACCTGAAGAGAGGTTGCCACTATCAAATGTCTTAAAGCACCCGTGGATTATAGAGAATGCTCCTGAAGGTGCTCATCCACCATTAATGAACTCTGAGCAAAAATAACATCTGCTGTTGTTTAGAAAATTTTACTAATAAGATCATTGTCATAAAATTAAATAGCTATTAATTACATACTGTTCTCAAGATACTATACTTAAGTTAACCAATAATAATAATTATAAAAAGATATAGGTAAGGTTTTTTCAGAAATTTTAGAACAAAAGACTATGTTTTGACTGAATAACTATTTATTATGTAATGCTCTTAAAAATCATGTAACTTAATATAATTTTGTAAATATTGTCAATACATTTTCTTTTCAAACTACTGCTTTTTGTTTATTTTCTCATAATATTTGTGTAAAGCATATTTGTCATAGTTTGGGTCTTTCTTCACAACACAATTCCAGTGGGCCAGCTCTCCAATTAGGCACATCACGCTCAAGAAGTAGCCGATGGCTAATGCTATGAAGGCTCCATAAAGCTTTTTCAAGTTCATTAAAGCTTTGATCTCCTCCTCGTTTGTTTCTAATGTTTTAATTGTGTACATAGCATCATTCAGCCACTTCTCAACCAAACCAACCTCGACTATTCTCGTTATGTATATATCAGTTAAAGGTTTGAGTGGAGAATTCTTGTGAAATCCAATCGAGATAGGTATGTTCACAACGCAATCAGACATAATGTGAAGATTTCTCTCATTGTTGTTTTTAGTGCTAATGCTGGTAAGATTAGTTGTGTTATCAATAGTTTCCATAATAAAACCATTTTGTCTTCTAACAATGATGTATTTTAGGAAGTTTTTATTGTCATAATACGCAAATGTACCCTGAGCGACTTTATCAGCCGCAATATTAGGGTCGTTACTAATTTCGAATCTGTCAGAAATTTTTTGTCCAATATCATCCAAGGAATCTTGAAAAAAATTCTTAGTTTCGATTCCCCAGCCTCCACAAGTAAGTTTACTGGCGGCCAATTCGACTAACGTGTCGATCGTCACTCTTGGCGCTGGGTTAGCCAGGATAGCGGTCATGCTTGCTCGGTACGAAACCACCAGTAATATACAGTACAACCAATACCAGCCAGTCAGGAATCGAATAGACCAGCCTGTTGGCAGTTTCGGTAATGACACGACGAGCAACATCCCATACGTATACAGAATGCTGTTGATTATTTCGCCAAACAGGTAAAGTCCGACAGGTTTCGAATCTGCAAAGCAAATATCGGTCAAAGTCAAACATAGCCGGAATGCAAATGAATGCATTCATGCAAATCGGCTAGACTTGAAAACTTGTTTGGTGATTGCAAAATATTGTTTTAGTAAGTATTTGTCTCGAAAATCGAAATATTGCTGCTATGTCCCCGATAGCACTAAAAGAGTAGGTAGGTACATGTATGACATGTAAATTAATGACGATATAGATATAGATTTAATACAAATTAAAAATTTAGTCACTGGGGTGTGAACGTTTCTATTTCTGCTGTGTTTATATCATGTCTATATCAGCTATGTCTATATCATATACATATTCATAAATATATTTCGAGTTTTAATTTGTGGCAGACATAAATTCGCTCCAAGTGCAACAATAATGGTCATCTAACTCTGGACCACAGTCCTTGATGGTTAGCGGTAGTTAGGATAAACGTAAGTATATACGGCTCTGAATGAGCCCATGGCGGTAGCTATCATACAACAAGATATTTGACATTAGCCTGAATCTCGCTAACATTTTCAAAATAAGTTTGTATATATACAAGTCTCGAAGAATATCATTATCGCGGGATCTTCTCAGTGGGTCGCGTTTCCGATCCGGTGGTAGATTCTGCGAAGCAATTCTCTTGCTAGGGTCAGTGTCAGCGATGTCGTCAGGTTTGAGCCCCGTGAGCTCAACTAATTGTTAGGGTTACGCTGAATTGGCCTCTCAAGGCTATATATAAGCTTAGGTAGGAAAAAGAAACTTTCGGACCATCGGTCTACCGAGCAATTTTAACCGCTCGGTAGAAGATCTTCCCTTTGTAGTTTTTTCCAAAGGCCCTAAGAAAACATTCAAACTATTTCTGTTTGACTAAGTTGAAACAAACAAACCCGCTTTTTCATTTTCCTCTTGGCGTTTTAGTCCGTGTAAATAAGTTTGATATCTCGCTAATCCATAGAATATAGTACCTGTTATTAACAGTACTAATACTACAGCAATCCACATGTAAAGTCTGAAATATAAATCAGTAATAGATTATTTAAAAAATCAAATTGACTATCTAGCACCTCATGGACCTTTCTTTTTTAATTTATTGCTTTCATGGACGTGCGAGCTAGCGATTCATTTGATGTTAATTGGTTACTGGTTCCCACAATCGTAACCCACCNATATAGTACCTGTTATTAACAGTACTAATACTACAGCAATCCACATGTAAAGTCTGAAATATAAATCAGTAATAGATTATTTAAAAAATCAAATTGACTATCTAGCACCTCATGGACCTTTCTTTTTTAATTTATTGCTTTCATGGACGTGCGAGCTAGCGATTCATTTGATGTTAATTGGTTACTGGTTCCCACAATCGTAACCCACCGTAAAATATAAGGTCGAATTTCTAACCATTTTGCGTAACTCTTGCTGCCCAACATTCAGCCCGGAACGCGTCACTACATCGCGGCAGAAATAGGTAAGTTAGGTACTACCAGTATTTGGCTATGTAGACTTACGATACTCCCTATCATGGATATTAGATGTTGTTTCTTTAGTTCCGGGACAATCATATCACCATTTGCAAGTATTAAAAAAATAGTACCTAGTTAATATCGACGGGTAAAAGACCGTTTGGTTTAAGCAATGTTTTTGCATTTTACAGAAGAGCCATTTAAAGTTATAAAAATTGGAAACAATATCATGACAAAAATCTTCTTCAACTATTTAAATGTGGTAAATATAATTGAAGTTCAATTCAAAATAACGAATTATTGATACTATGTATTATTACCAAATAAAACGGACTTTTAATTATACAACTATAAATTTCACGTATTAACCTAAATGTCGCTTAAACCAAATTGCCAAAAAGTAAAAAACCCCTCGATATGATTAAATAACAATAACAATTACAAGTAACGTTAGTTCTCACTTAAAAGGCAAAAGAAGAGTTTTCCAAGAATTATCAGTCAAAGCTTCGGGCGTGAGAAAAGTCCAGCACTGCGACGTGTACGGTATGCTAAGGTCAATCAACTCCAAATGGTATGGGGTGTATTGCAAGTTCCCCAGTGCTAAATCGGCTCTCCCATTAACCATTTCTCCGAGGAGACCAGAGAAGGAGCCGTTGGGTTGCTTTTGGCCCCATTTATGAAGTTCGACATTCATTGGCTGGTATAATTTCGGTCTAAAATTCATTTTTTCAGATAATGTGTTTATTATCTAAAATAATAGAAAAATATGATTACCAACATAAAACTATTTTTCCGGTGTAATCTAGCGTTTTTAACTTTCGTTCACTCATTTCTGAACTATATTTCTAAATTTATGGAATTTTTATAATATACAAAATTAGACACTAGTTAGCACAAGTCGTCCGTAGCCACAAAAACTTTAAAGGATTCAAAACGTCGAACATATCGGCGAGTGAATTTTGACGGGCTATTCGGTTTAAGTGTCATTTTTGCAAAAATTTGGATGAGTTATCATAACAAATAAACTTATTCAGCTATTTGGCAACTTAATTGAAGTTCAATTAAAAACATCGAACTCTTGATGCTAATACCAAATAAAATGGATCTTTAATTACAAAGGCAAATGTCGCGTATTAAGCGAAATGCCGCTTAAACCAAATACCCTTTCACGTCTCGATATTATAATGACAATAGAAAATGCGAGATTCAATGAAACTTGATTTCTAGATGTGTGGGAAACCTGAGCCCATTGACCATTTTAGGTTTGAACATCGACAGTACGAAACTTTGAAAAAATGTCTTTTTCAATTTATTAATTGCTAATTTATAAATATTTTATAAAATTTTAAACACATATCTATAAATAAATTTAAATTTTCAAAACAATTCAAGATTTCAAACGTGAAGGATAGATCGTGTTACACCTGTGTAACAGAACAAGATTCAAATTCCTTAATAGTGTCCAAAATAGTGCTTCCAAAATTGGAAGCACTATAAATTTATTTCGAACTGCCACTCCGTCAGTTCAAATCAATGTCAACCTAATGTTTGATTCATAGACCTTTTAGGTTTCATACTTCAGTGATTTGATTGCTTTGAAAATAACTCTTTTACTAAGTTACCTCTATTTCCACGCCCCCAATTTGACCCGTTTCGTTACTGTTCACAACAACAACAGAAGGCACGTGGTCCAAATAAACTACATGCAGAACTTCATCGTTCAAGTTACTAGTCTTATCGGCGAACGGAACTGTGTTGTAGTGAAACTTCCCACTCTTCCAGAGATCAACGCGACGGGGGACGAACACGCCCTTAAATTGAAAGACTCGAATGACTTAAATCCAGTTTCATTCTTACAGCTTTTCATTTTGACATCAAAGAATATAACATTTAGGATATATCTAAAGAAATACTTTTAAAATAGGTGTAACTTTATTAAGTCACCGTTGTCTTGCTCGCCCACCTGTCCTGGTGAAGCTGGAAAGGCCTCCGGGCCACCAGTAATCTTTCAATCATAAAAATAAAAAAAGGATTCTTACGTTTAGGTAATACTTTACATGATTATGTAGACAGGAAAGAATATAATAATACGATAAGTATGATGATCTATTTTTACTCTATACCTGGTATTAGATTGTTTATACTGAAGTCCTATTTTCTACTGTGATATTCCGCAGTAAAACACCTAAAATCTGGACTCAAAAACTATGATAATTTTTAACTCTATAATAGCGAATAAAACTATCTGCCGGAATAATAATTTTCTTTTATTGAACACAATATTTTTATTTTTTTATTGCATAGTTGTATGGACGAGCTCACAGCCTACCTGGTGTTAAGTGGCTAACCACATAGACATCTACAACGTAGATGCCGCCACCCACCTTGAGAAATGAGTGCTAAGGTATAGAGATAGAGATATATCTAAGGATTCTAGGGTATAGTTACAACGGCTGTCCCGCCCTTCAAACCGAAACGCATTACTGCTTCAGGGCAAAATTAGGCAAGGTGGCAGTAACTATCCTTGCGGACTCACAAGAGGTCCTTCCACTATTAAAAAAATGTTTCTATTAGTGTAGTAGTTAGAACAGGAGAGTTCAGTCCGTGACCGATTTTTTTTAAATGCCAGGCGGCAAGATTGACATGGCTACGAACCGGCGCTCTACGATTTACCTTAATTGGATTTGGAAATGGAACCGTTGAAAGATCAAACCAAGCTCGGCTTTTCGCGACACTGCCGATCTTCCGGTGGTGCTTAAGAAATATTACGTTAACGATTCTTTTCCAAAGATAGTGTAGGTCGCTGTGAAAAAGTCTGTAGTCATGTAAAATTATGTATTTAGCTCTTGTATCTAAGACTCTGTGCCTGAAAAAATGTAAAATTACACAAAATAATACTTTAAAGTAGATACCTAATATTTGTACTGTGTATTACTGGTGGTAGGACCTCTTGTGAGTCCGCGCGGGTAGGTACCACCACCCTGCCTATTTCTGCCGTGAAGCAGTAATGCGTTTCGGTTTGAAGGGTGGGGCAGCCGTGGTAACTATACTTGAGACCTTAGAGCTTATATCTCAAGATGGGTGGCGCATTTACGTTGTAGATGTCTATGGGCTCCAGTAACCACTTAACATCAGGTGGGCTGTGAGCACATCCACCCACCTAAGCAATAAAAAATATATCTGTGCTGTCACTGCGATCTAGTCATTATAATCGGATAATACCAAGCATTTGTGCCATTAAAAGAATAATGACAAACGAAAGATTACCTGTCGCCAAATTTTAGAAGTCTAGCTGCTTGAAGACCATTAGCTAGCAATATTATATACATATTGCAACCATCTCTTCTAGCTTCTCTCAATGCTTCCAGGGTATCAAAGTTGGGTGATAGTAAGTCTTCGTATTCTTCTACCACAATCTAGACATAGAGAGAACTAACTATTTTTTTCTAAACTAGGACTTTTCTGATCGGACGGCCGATGGGGCAGAAAGATCCTTGAGTGGAGATCACGTACTGGCAAGTACAGTGAGGACGATCACCTACCAAATGGACCGATGCGGTGACGATCCAAAGAAAATCGCTGGGTCACGGTGGTTGTAGGTAGCAGGACCGACCGCATTGGAAGTCGATTGGATAGGCCTATGTTCAACTATATTCACCTATGAATAGCTATAGGCTGAGATGATGATGGAATTTTTTCCAGAAAAATTCTTAATCAGCAGGAAAGCATCTCGTTAATATATTAATACAATAATATATAGTAATACGTAAACACCCCGTCATCTCGTTCATTTCCATTTGATACCTCATTTTCCGGTAACAGTTTTACGTAAATCTTACCATAACAAAAGGCACAATCAGATCAATCCTTTTAAAGAATGCGCCGTCGAAGACGTTGAAATAAATAGCATCACATATAACAGCTACGCAAGTAATGTCGTGATAGCGTTCGGCGTGGTTTAGCAGGTCTACCAGAACGAACTCCAGGTCCTTTTGTTCGTAAATATCTTCAAGAATTGGTGATGCTTTAGAAACCGCTCTGGAAATTGGGGCACGCAATTGAAATTAATATTTTGACTGAAAATTCAAAATTTTATTACATGCCTACGTTTATAGCCTGCTGTAGTTGGAAACTAATGAAGCTAATGCTATCTATGTTTTCGATCAAGTAACAAAACTTTTGTGGCGGTATTATGGCCCACAAGCTTCTACTGCTGGACAAATACCTAACTCAAAGTTCACCAAGCAAACCAGTCTTGTGGACCTTTAGCGGGTTCTGGGAGGCCCAACCATGCTGCGTTTTCCAGTGCGCCGTCTTTACTTGAGAGGTCTTAGACGCCAGCAGCCGTCTGTTTTTCGAACAATACGCCCTATCGACCAGCACTACGACACCAACTTTCGTTTTAAAAATTACGATAGAGCAAAAGTCTGTGATTTCCGAGTCGAGATGAGAGACCACTCAAGATCAAACAGATCACACGATTTTTTTCCACACGGAAACTTCGCGCAAAAAACTATCGATGACACATGAACATCGCCACTCCACACCCTACTTACATTTACCTTGTTTTGCCTGAGCGGGGAGATCGAGAAAACAGCGTAAGTGGCATAATCGTACCAGCCATTATTAATCAATTAATAAACCTAATAAATAAATAAAATTTAACACACACGCGCATACATACACCCACGCGCGCACACACACATCACACGCACGCACACAACACACAAACGCCCGCACACACGCACGCAAGCCGCACGCACGCACACACACACACTAATGTATAGATGTGTGTAAACGCACTTTATCTGAAGATAAAAGAACAGCTAATACGGTAAAAACACTATTAAATCAGTATTATATTAAATTCAGTACAATCAATTATCGGACCCCCAGACGGTTAGACGTCCCTTAATACTCCAGATCCGGATTCCGCTACTTTCCAGTCATATTAGATTGCGTCCAATCAAAAACACATTCGGTTTTATTCCTGTTTATAGGAACTATGTATCTAAGTCCATTACAAAAAAACTTGTTGGAAAATAGTATTTTTATTCGTTCGATATACATATAAGTTTAGGTTTAGCGATAAGCCACAATTCGGGGCGATCGAGTTTTATTAGCACCAAATAAAATGCTCACATTATAGCTATCAAAATACGCAATGCTAATTTCCACTTCATCGTTAGTCCGATCAAGTCTACTGCACGAAATAAAATAATGTCTTTAGGTACCTTCTCTATCAATCTTATTGAGCGACGGAATCATTATATATGCAAGTAACAATTACGGAAACCCATCGAGCACTCGATTAAGTAACCTTAAATATTCAAATAGTTTTTTTTTTGTTTCGAATACAACACTTTTTATCTAAAAGATATTCTTGATTTTTATTTTTTTCTTATAGCTCTCATAGAATAAAAGAATTTCACTGTCAAAAACCCTGATTCACGCATACATTTCCGAGATGTTTGTATGTATGAAAGTTTCGTACCGTGCGTCTACCGATGCCCCTTATATTAGGTGTTTTATCTAGTAGTCTACCGAACAATGACAGCCGGTGGAAGATCTTCCTTTCCTATCCTCCAAAAGGTCCTATTGAAAATATATTACTGCAGTGTCTAATATCTAAAAACAAATAAACATTTACACGAACACTTTTTTATTTTTTTATTGCCTTTGTAGGCCGGCGAGCATACGGCCCACCTGATGGTGAGTGGTTACCGTCGCCCATTGACGTCAGCAATGCCAGGAGCAGAGACAAGCCGCTGCCTACCGTTTACGGTGCGATATTTACGTTATTACGACACCAAAAAATAATGATCGAAATCTATACATACTAGTATAGGCTCAGTAGTAGACGTAGCTCATAGACATCTACAACGTAAACGCCGCCACCTACCTCGAGACATAAGAAGTCTCAGTATTAACAGTACAACGGCTGCCCCACCCTTCAAACCGAAACGCATTACTGCTTCACGCCAGAAATAAGCAGGGAGGTGGTACCTTCCCATGCGGACTCACAAGAGGCCTATCACCAGTAATTACGCAAATTATAATTTTCCGGGTTTTTATTACACGATGTTATTCCTTCACCGTGGAAGTCAATCGTAAACATTTGTTAAGTAGGTACGTATTTCATTAGAAAAATTGGTACCCGACTGCGGGACTCGAACACCGGCGCATCGCTCGATACGAATGCACCGGACGTCTTATCCTTTAGGCCACGACGACATGCGCGCAGCGTATCACAATTAAAATTTATGAGGCACCTTCAGTGTTGATTGCGATCAGTTCAGAAAACATTAACTTTCTAATGATTAAATATTTGGGAAATATTGTTAATAAGATCAAAGAAAAAGTTCAATAAAAACCATTATAAAAAATCCTTTATTATAAAAATCCCTGTATAAAAATGTATCTTAATATTATAGATTATAAATTCTTAATATAAAATTAACGTTAAACACTAAAATATACATAACAATAAGTGCAAATAAAAACATATTTTTTTAAATATTTAAAAACAATAATCTGGCATCAGTGATGTTTTCAATATTTACCAAATATAGACCAGGACAACCACATTCATTGTGAAAATGATTACAAAACATATCGTTTGTTAATTTAAAAAAATAATTTTAATACTATCTGTTCCCATCATAGCACGCGATTATCATAAACGTCACATCTGTGAGTATTTAATGTTGGCATCAGTGAAGCATAAGAAATCCATTAAAAAAAAAAAACATGTGTGCAATTCACACGTGGTAGAAGTGAAACCTTCCAAAATTAAAATACAATTATCCTAAACGTCTTAAGTATATGTAAAATTTTGTCATTAGTAAATAATTGTAAGGTAGCGCCCTCTGTGAATTGATATTTTAATTTCACGTATAATCCTAAATTAAAATTCACTACAAGAGCTTTCATACACACGTTAGTATTAAAAAATCTCACAGATGGCGCTGTATTAAATAGTATGTATATTTCTGTCTCATTCTTTGCTGGCTTCATCCTACACATTTTTGTATTTGTGTCTCTTACCTGTCGTTTTTTCCGTTGCATCCGGTTTGAAATCACAATGATTCTAAAGAAGTTTTCACTTCAAAAAACCAGTAAAATCTTACAGCTTAGACTTCAAATAATTCTGCCAGTCCACCACGTCGCGCCACCACGCGGGCCGGCTCGTGGCGTCGGGGCGTGACGTCACGCTCGCGTGGATGTGCTTGTACGCCTGCAACCAGCCACGCGTCACGCGCTGCGGGGGCGTTACCCCGCTCCCGTAGCCCTCGATAGGTTAGCCCACTGACTTTCTCGCTGGATTTTCTCAGTGGGTCGCTTTTCCTATTCGGTGGAGATTCCGCGAAGCACTGCTCTTACTGGGGATAGTCTTAGCAACGACGTCAGATTTGAGCCCCGCGAGGTCACCTACTTGTTAAGGCTACGCTGAAATGGTCTCTCAAGACCATCAGCTTTAGTAGGGAAAAAAAAGTACAAAGAGAATTAAAAAAGGACTTTTTTTTCTTCTACATATTATAGTAATTTCGAGAGGTCATAGTAGATTCACCGAGCGAGTAGATGAGCCCAAGCCTGGTGACGTTACTAACAGTAACTCCAGTAAGAGTCGTGCTTCGCAGAATAAACTACCGGATCGGAATCGCGACCCACTAAGGAGTTCCGGCCAGAAACTCAGTGGACTTTTCTTTAAAGTGACTCTACTTTCGTATAGTTGTCGCCCGCTCTACTCACCTCTCCGTCGGACTGGCCCAGGACCGAATTGAGGCAGAAGTCCGGTGGGGCCAGCGTGTCCACCAGGCCCACGGCCTCATGCGACAGCGCGGCGCATTGCTGCAGGATCCCTTCGCGCAGGGCCAGACCCTGGCTGCCGGAGTAGAACCCACCCTGAAAATTGGTGAATAATATTTTTTTTTTTTTCGCGTACAAAAAAACCAGATTACAGTCCACTTTGCACTAAACACACATCGCAGCGCTGAGAGATGGTACAAATGTCGCCGCTCGTCTTATCGCCTAGTGTGTGGCGGATGCCATCATAGAACATAAGATATTCGAGAGATGTTTGAATCCCGCTAAGGAGATTATCAAGATACGGTTTTTACATTTGAAACGTAACTTCACTAGTTCGGCGGAAGATCTTCCCAATGTTGTGATTTCCAAACTCCCAAAAGTATTGTTCAAACCAGAGTATACTATCCCAACAACCAGTGGGAGCTAAACAGTCACGCAGACAGTAAGGCAACAGTGAGATGAGCTCACAATGTACAGGGTGGCCAGATGCTTCTCCACGAGGAAGGCTCCGTACAGCGACACGAGGCGCAGCAGCACGCGGCGGCAGGACGGCTCCGCGAACTGCGCTGCCGACTCGTAGAAGTGGCTCAGGACGTGGTTCTGATAAAGTAATGATATTTAGTTTAATTTCAAATAAATAGATAATTATTAAATAAAATATTTCTAGGGCACGCACGCGCGCACTCACGCGCGCACGCACGCACGGACGCACGCACGCACCCACACAAACACACAACACACACACACCCACCCACACACACACACACACACGCATAATGACCTTAAATGATAACACCTAATGATCTCTCAATACTAGTCCGCAGCATCTGTTCACGACTTATTCTAACCTAATCTATCTTAAGAAGGAGGGAGTCTGGAGATCAGTAATACAGGTCTTTGAACCTAGTACAGACTCTTTCAAAGGCTTACAAAATAAATTGTAAGGTTAATTTCCATTTGTATTTGNCACACACACACACACACACACACACACACACACACACACACACACACACACACACACACACACACACACACACACACACAATTTAGTACAATAACAACACGCTGTATCTTTTTTCTTTCTACCTAGCCTTGAGAGGCCATATCAGCTTCGCCTTGACGTGTAGGTGAGCTCACGGGGCTCAAACCGAAGTGTTGCGAACACTGACTCTAGCAAGAGCGGTGCTTCGCAGAATCTACCACCGGATCGGAAACGCAATCCACTGAAAAGTTCCGAGCCCTTCGTCGCAAGCGACGGGTTCGACGAGGACGGACGGACGTGCTTGTGGTACCTAAAAGCACCGTTAATGGATCGGGAGGATCCGTAATGACGTGTTTAGAGCGACGTTGACTGTTTACCATTCGGTCTACAGGATCGGGTATGACGCTGTATCTATAAGGCCCACTAGGCTGTTGATCATCTGTTTGATATAAACGACCGAGCGTTGTAAGTGCCCACTGACCTCTGCGTAGACGATAGCTAAGGTGACTGCGTTGAAGGATTGGGATTCGTTCTTGGCCTGCAAAGGGTCCCTGCCCTCACTCCTCAGCCTCTCCACCTTCTCATACGTCATCTTTAGCATGAACGCCGTCAGCCACTTGTAAGTGTGCACCAAGTCTGCGGATTTTGGTATTCGATTAGCTAGAAGTAGATTTGGACAAAAATCGCTCCTGCGGCGACAATTTCGTGAAACGACAGTGTCGTGGGACGATAGCCATTTCCAATTGTATTCGCTTGATTGATTATACTATTAACAGATACGATACTTTTTACCATAGTTTATGACATGATACGGCGAACAATAGGTTTATCTGTTAATAAAATGCGATAGGTGCATTTGCTGGGACGTGATTTTACGTGCACACAGGGCTACAAGTCGACTGCTTCGCAGGACGGGAAGATAAGTCCTACGCCGGCTGACAACACTCCCTACCCTTGGCAAATGTTATTTGGAGATTACGGTATACTGATATAATAGGTTGGGGAATAAGTCTTTTCGCATTATAGTATGTATGAACTGGCAATAAAATCTCTTTGGCTATACTATCTGTATCTGGCTGGTTTTGGTATCATTAAAAAATTAAATTTTAAAGAAGATAATTCCATATTCAAATTAGGAAACTGTGTGATGAGTGAAGCTAATGAAGAAATTCGACACATTTTAAAATTTTACAAAAAAGGTATAAATGCAACGCAAGCCGCGAAAAAAATTGCGATGTTTATGGACCTAGTGCAGTGTCTGTGTGAGAGTAGCACAAATTTGGTTTAAGCGTTTTCAATCCGGAAATTTTGATGTCAAAGATGCACGTCGCTCTGGTCGCCCTATTATGGATAAAATGGATGCCATTTTTGAAAAAGTGGAGCAAGATCGGCATATCAGTAGTTAAGACGTAGCTGAAGAAATGGAAATTGACCACAAAACAGTTTTGGCGCATTTGAAGAAAACTGGGTACACAAAAAAGCCCGATATTTGGGTACCTCACGAGCTCACTGAAAGAAACGTAATGAACCATGTACTCATTTGTGATTCTTTATTACGACGTAATGAAACCGAACCATTTTTGAAGAAGCTGATAACTGGTGATGAAAAGTGGATAACGTACGACAAGAACGTGCGAAAAAGGTCGTGGTCAAAGGCCGGTCAGGCTGCACAGACTGGCGAAGCCCGGGTTAACTCGCAACAAGGTGATGCTGGGTGTGTGGTGGGATTGGAAGGGCATTATTCATTATGAGCTGTTACCGCCAGGCAGAACCATCGATTCTGAACTCTACTGTGAACAACTGATTAGATTAAAGCAAGAAATTGAGAGAAAACGGCCGAAATTAATCAACAGAAGGGGTGTGGTTTTTCATCATGATAACGCTAGACCTCACACATCTTTAGCCACTCAGCAAAAATTAAGAGAGCTTGGCTGGGAGATGTTAATGCATCCACCGTATAGTCCTGACCTTGCACCTTCAGATTTCCACCTGTTTCGGTCTCTTCAGAATTCTTCAGGTTAACATCACGAGAGGACTGCCAAAACCAATTGTCGCGGTATTTCGATCAGAAGCCCCAAAATTTCTATAGCAATGGGATTATGTCCCTACCTACAAGTTATTGAACAAAAAATGTTTTGAATTTTCTTAAAAAATGCGAAGAGAGTTTTTCCCCGACCTATGAATAATTGGAGAAGGCTGTTTCTCTGTCCCTAGTGCGTCTTACGACACCCATAGGTGAGGGTGGGGGGTGGAAAGTCGACATCTTAAATCGTTTAATAAACAAATCTAATTTAAAACTGACTGGCGGGTTCGATAATGTCGTCGACGGTGTTCCAGGGAGCCTTCTGTGCGAGCAGCCGGTCCGCCTCCTCCAGGAAGGCGAGGGAGCGCAGCGGGTGCGGTGGGGGCGCGTGTCGGCGCGGCCACAGCGCCAGCAGCCAGTTGCTGGCCTGCTGCACCAGCAGACTGTTCTCCCCCTCGTACGTGCAGTTCGCGTCGTTGTCGTCGCGCAGCTCGCCCAGCGCCGCCGCTGCGCGATAAACCACCCTCAGCCATTTCGATATTATGCATTTTATCAATAAAAATAATCAGAATGACAATACGATAATATTAATATAAGCATGTTGGATTCCCTTCTTAGTTTATCCCGATGTTTTTTCCCAAAAATGGGGAGTTTCCTAACGGGCGGCAGTTTCCCAACAAATTACTAATACGACAAACTCGCATTCCGCTGCGACTAAAAAATAAATCTCCACTGTGGCTATCAGCAAATATATAAATATAGACATTTATCATTCACGCGCCACCTGTCGTACGTTGCTGATATTGTAACTAAAATTTATTCTACACGCATTAATAACTGTGCGAAGTTAGAGATGGGATACTGAAATTAATTAATCGAAAAATCGGTATTTTAATTTAAAAAAAGAACGATTTTTATAAATCGATCTCGAGATACGAAATCTTATTTCAATTTTTTTATTTCAGACCGAATGTATACGTGTTAACAACAAAAATATGAGATCGGAGACAAATATGAAGCGATTTTTTTTAATAGATTTAAAATGAACTGAAATCTATTAAAATGAGTATTCACCCTTAAGGTATCCGTGTCCCCCGCAGGCCTCCCTGCAGTTCTGGATGCCGTCGCGCGCCGTCCAGCCGAACAGCGGCTTCACGGCCGACGACAGCGCGTGCAGCTCGGCGCCGCGCGCACCCGCGTCCTCGTCCGCGCCTGCGCGACCACGTCAGCGTACAGTAACTCTCTCTCTCTCTCTCTCTTTTTTTCTCTCTCTGTCTTCGCCTCGAACGTCACGGACTATAGTAGAATTATTTTGTCCGTGCAGTTTGGGTCATAAATAATCGGAGCGGTGAAGCGAATATTTCGCTCTCTCTTCCACTCACGAGCCTTATGGACGGGCATAGTGATGCGCATTATTGTTTTCGATAAGCGTTATCGATAGTGTATTTAGTTTTGTCATTTTGTAGTCATTTTGTGGTGTCATAAAAATGAAAGTAAAAATCTCTAATCGCAGCAAGTTAACGAGAATCTCTAATCGCAGCAAGTTAACGAGAACGGCAGAAATTAACACTGTAACTTTTCGGGAACTATTTTCATTTCAGTGAAAATTCTTAACACATTGTTGATAACAAACAATACGTGCAAATATTATTTAGAAACAAAATTACATTATTTACAGACAAAACAATTCTACTATAGTCGGATTCCACTCTAACACAACTACTCGTATCCCCAGAAGCCGTCGCGCGCTTCCACGTCGATGTCACGTTTGTTGACCCCAAATTTGTTCTACATAGATTGCGGGCTCACGGAACGGTATAATAATTATTTTACGTAAATGAATATTTTCAAATGAGTTTATCGATATAGTATTCGAGAACTCTTCATTAATTACTAATATACCCACCCATATATTTGTTGATTGTCATCATTATATGCGTGTATCCGAGCCACGAAGAGTATATCCTCATGGCGTACGTGGCCGCTAAGTACGGCAGGAGTCTTATTTGCTGGAATTGAATAAACAACATTGATTCAATGCGTCATTTGATCACATTATTGGTATAGTTGTGAGCAACAGCATAGTGCATATAGCATTTGTCGTTAATATTACTTGTCTATAGTGTAGCCTTGGCGAAATCTTGGTTGGTGATTATAGAAGGTATTTGACAATAGAACCATAATAATGTTCAAACTTATAATTTTAATTTAATTATGGTCGAATTTCGACTACTAGGCGACCACTAGTATCTACTCAACATAAATATGGCGATAAGTTTATCGACCCATCTACAGTAAAATTGTACGCCCAGACTGGCAGATATTCCCGAAGATAACGATTGATTAGCTATAGGAACATTTGGAAATTATATAAAATAACCGATGTTAATTATACCTGCTGCTGATACTCCAGTACCGGCGTCTCCTCATCACAACCCTCGGGCCCGAACTGCCTCCTCACGGCCGAGTACCGAATAGCAATCACGATAGCTTTCAACAGATAGAAGGTCGATATCCCGGTTATATGGACTCTGCCGCCTGGAAGAAACGCAACAACATAACTAATTAAGAATGCTGTCTAGAAAATGATATTTTTTTTTAAATAAATTTTAGAATATACTGGGTTTATTGTGACCAAAAACGTATGTGAGCGTATTCGTGGTCATAAGGTCGTATACAAATAGGTTCGTAGCGCGCGCAATGGAACGCAAAGCAATATCCACGGACGCGCGCGGCCTACCGTCGCGACGCAGCGCGGGGGCGGCCTCACTTAACATTACATTTCTACTTGAATCGGTAAATTATTAGCTGTTTACCGATTTAGCATCTTATTCGTCTAGATTCCAGAAGCGATCTCTAAAAACCTGTATAAAGATAAAGATAAAGAAGCCTTTATTAACAACCTTAATTCATATTTAGGCGCATACTATTAATGTATTTTTTCTAAACATTTGACATCGGCAAAGATTGTTTTGCTTTTTTTTTTATTGCTTGGATGGGTGGACGAGCTCACAGCCCACCTGGTGTTAAGTGGTTACTGGAGCTACAACATAAATGCGCCACCCACCTTGAGATATAAGTTCTAAGATCTCAGTATAGTTACAACAGCTGCCCTACACTTCAGACCGAAACGCATTACTGCTTCACGGCAGAAATAGGCAGGGTGGTGGTACCTACCTGCGCGGACTCACAAGAGGCCCTACCACCAGTAAATTGCTTTCGCATAGGCCTCTCCCAAATCCTGCCATGAGTCCCGGTCGTGGCATTTCCTCTTCCACATAGAGCCTGCAACGGCCTTATGTCGTCTACCCTCCTTTGGAACGGTCGTCCTTTTAATCTTTTCCCCTCTCGAGGGTACCACTCAGTTAATAGCTCATTTTTATATTTTGCTTCTTGTTAAATTTTTAATTGTGTATGACACCCTGTATATGACATTATTAAATAGCAGACTAATAAAGAAGCACAGGATCGATTTATATGGTGAGAGCTTAACGTACGTTTCGTGATGATAAATCATATGCCACTTTCGTACCTTGGTTCTGAGTCTTCGTAATTTCTCGTGAGAAAATCTCTCGAAAAATCTAAATGGTCCTATAGTATTTGATACTGACAAATGTCGCCTATGATGGTAAAAAATTTTGAAAACAAAAACGAAAAATATTATGTGAAGTGTCACTGGCCATTACTTGCCGGAGAGGATGCCAAGCGAAGCTCCTAGTCGCTTTTTAGGGTCTCTGATCGGAGTCTTATAGTCGCCATTATCATCTACGCCCCCAAGCTTGTCCAAAGCTACTTCTTTGGGCAAATGGTAGTTGTTGAACATTACGAAACTGCAATATTATATTTGTCGTTAGAATTATACAACCTAGGAATAGTTAAAAAAACATTATGTTTATAGCATTAAGGATCATTTTCTGTGTTTTTTAATTGCCACTTATTCCCACTTCAATGACTTGACTTATGGTTTGGAGTGAAGTAGTGGATATTGCATTTTTTTTATTGCCCTTGTAGGCAGACGATCATACGGCCCACCTGATGGTGAGTGGTTACCGTCGCCCATGGACTTCAGCAATGCCAGGAACAGAGCCAAGCCGCTGCCTACCGCTTAATACTCTCCACAAGCCTCTTTTAAAGAAGGACATGTCATAGCGCTCGGGAAACATCTTTATCTGTAGACCCAAAGGATTTCAATTTTTACAAAGATCTTCACGTGAGCCTCTTTGAAAAACGGGTTTAACTTAATAGTGAAAACCTAAATTTAAAATGAACTAAATTCCATTGAGGTCCAACGCTCGGGATGTGTAGTTTACATAATAATGAATTTAAATAAATTAAACTGACCCATTATCAACCCCGTTCAGTCCGATCTTTTCGCCCAGGTCCCCTACGAACACTCCAGGGTAGGGTTTTAAGGTCTTCGGATCACGAATGGGTACAACGAAAGAGTGCAAACCATAGTTTGTTCCTTTCGACACCAACATTGCGTAAAGAATGGCGTGAGTTGCGCATTTCCCTAAAACACAATATTTTCCCTTAGTTATTCAACATGAAACCGCTACTTAATATTTTTTAATGCTTAAACCGATGAAAGAGCTCACGGTTCACTTGGTGTAAAGTGGTTACTGGAGCCCATGACGTTGAGTTCTGAGATATGAGTCAAAGTTCTACAATACAACAGCTGCTCTGAAAGCTGCAATGCGTTATATTACTGCTTCACAACGCAAATAGGCTGAATTGTGGTACCTGCCCGTATGGGATCACATGATGCAGATGCAAGAGAAGAGTGTGAGAAATAGTGTGTATTATTTTCCTCTGAAGTAGAAATATGAATTCCACAATTTTATCTCTATCAATACTTTTAATGGAAGCGGTGGTAGACAAATAGCCCTAAATTACATTCTCTTTTCTGAATAGAAAAGCCAATTTCACATAATATAGTAAATATTGAAATTCTGCAAAGATATTGTTTCTTAAATTTACTGTCAGCTACAAGACTTTTGAATGGCTCATAAAAATATAACTAATATCTCTGCTTACCTAAACATCCCACCCAACATTTAGCAGCTTCAAAATCAGGAGTATGAAACACAAACTGCCTCTTCTCTGGTAAATACGTGGCAGTCGTTCTCATGCCTTTAGCATTAGAGCCGTGGGACACTTCAGTGAGAGCGAAACATCCACCAATCTCCGCTTTGGACAGTGCCTCAACAAGTGGGTAATGATAGTCTCTGCCGCTACCAGTTATAGCATTGCTGGGCATGCGGAATGTGAGCGAAAGTTTCACAGCTAATGAACTGTCAAACATGAACAATGCTTCCGATTCTGCTTGAAAGCATTTGGGATCTGCAGCTATCTGTGAGATATATAAGTTCTTGATAAATTTATAGGTGTTTTTGTGATCTTTTAAGATAACTCAGCTTTTCCAATATACACTAATGGACAACTCGGACATGGACACATATATTGATGTGATGTTTGTGACAGTTCAATTGGCCTACCCATTAACTACATTGGAAAAGTTTATGTTTTACTTTAAGTGAATATTGGTGAAGCATGTTATATCTAAATGATTCTGTGATTTTTTTCAAGAATTTTCAGTCATAAACACTTTAAAATTCATTAACAAATTAACCTTGGGACCTGTGCAGTTTCAAAGTACATTTTTCTAGCCATTTTATATATTACATAAGAAAAAAAAATTGAGTTGAGACTATGTGGGGCTTCTGTTAATAGATATTATGAGCTCAATACTAAATATTTTAAAGAATAAACTTAAATAATTTGGAATTTCCAGTAAAATTAAAAAAATTATGCAATATTTTCTACCTTTTCAAATGGTAAAAAATTTTCATTGTATATTGCATACATCCTTTTCGTTGCTATATGCCTCTGCTCATCCAGGCTTGGGGTGACATCAGAGTGGTGAAACAAGGTATGGTTCTCCATAAATGTGTAGTATTCATGCTGAAAATAGTGAAAAATGGAATATATTTAACGTGAGAGATAAATTATTTTCTTTTTTAACAATCACGCCACGTTAACTGGTCCCGTGATAAGTTCGTAAAGAACTTGTGTTACAGGTACCAGATAACGGAAATAAATGTAAGATTTTTATTATACACATACATATATTTAATATACATCCATAACCCTGGAATAGACATTTATATTTATCATACAAATATCTTCCCTTGGCGGGATTCGAACCCGCGACCCCCTTGTGTAGTGACCATGTCACTTACCACTACACCAGGCGGCCGTTTTTACAATTAAGTGTACTCTTCTTCATATAATTTATTGTGGTTCAATTTAAGGTGTATTTTATTTCTCTTCTTAAATAGTTGGCATTATGAATGATTTTTATAACTATGGAAAACATAATTTAAAATCAAAACTACAAATTACATAAATATAATAGTATACTTACTGGAGTCACTCATTTACAGTAGGAACAAAGTTTAGGATTTGCTATTTTAATAAGCAGAACAGGAGTGAACCAGTTTTGTACCACCGGATCCACTATATTTATTATTATATAATATTGTTGTTTGTTTAAATTGTGGTTTCTACAGGCTGCAGTAATCACTTTACACCTGGTGAGCTATCAGCAGATTCACCCATTAATGAGCTCCCCTCCACGGTGTTTCTTGCTTTAAAAGAGACTTGTGGAGAGTATTAAGCGGCAGGTAGCAGCCTGGCTCTGCCCCTGGCATTGCTGAGGTCCATTGGCGACGGTAACCACTCACCATCAGATGAGCCGTATGCTCGTCTGCCTACAAGGGCAATAAAAAAAAAACCGAGTTTTTTTATACTAAATTTGATTAGTTCATCAGTAACATATTTTTAATGAAAATTAAGGTATATTAAACAATTTATTTAATTTTAGAATGGTTTTATTAAATTGGAATAATTTAATATTTTTAATGTTTCACTTACTTTCAATTTTATTGTGTTGAAATTTTCATAAATAAATTTCATTCGACGCCAATCAAAACTGGCCCTTTTCCTGAATTTTTCCAAAGGACCGGACGGCAAATCCGGGAAGTACTGTTTTAGTACATCATCAGAAGGCACTGTGTTATTTTCTTTTTCCATTTTCCTACAAAAATTCTGCTTAGCGCAAAACGCGCTCCAATTAATTTTGTACTTTGACTGACGGTACAAACTACAACGAACTGCAAAACACTTATTTAAGCTTCATTCCGAATGAAATGAATCGACGATTAAAATATATTCAATAGTTTTAAATGTTAATTATTTCGTGTAAAATGAATTAATATTATTATTTAAAAATCCAGCTTAATAAAAACACTAGCCCGTATTTCGACCAAATAATTAAATAGGTAGGTAGGTACTTACAATTAAGCATTTATGAAGTTGAAATGTCAAATCACTTGATTGAATGTTATCTATTTTATCGAAGTCCAGGGAATGTTGGAATTTGTTCATAAAATATTTCAGGAATTTGAAGCGTAGACAATAAGCTTCATATATAAGAAGTGATAATATAATAGAGGTCATTCACGTCGATAAAACTAAAGTACCGTACATTGTTTCGATCTTTTTTTTCTTATCTCACCGTTGAGTTGACCGACCGTTGGCCTCCCGATCCATTAACGGTGCTTTTAGTCACCACAGGCACCGGTCACCGTCCTCGTCGAACCCGTCGCTTGCGACGAAGGGCTCGACGAGCGAATTAACCAATAGACACAGCTGCTGGACATAGGCCTCTCCCAGTCTACACCATCACTCCTCTCAAATATATGATCACTCCGGTTTCAGCCCCGTGGGCTCACCTACTAGTTATGGTTACGCTGAAATAGCCTCTCAAGGCTATCAGCTTAGGCAGGGAAAAAAAATGTTGATCGTTGGTAGCTATGTCCACACTATTTACGGACTGATAGGTGAGCTCACATGCTTATTCTGAGAGAATTGCAATCACCGCAGCAAGAGCAGAGCTTCACTGAATCTATCGCCGGATCGAAATAGCGACCCACTGCGAAGATCAGGTGAGAAACTCAGTGCTTAAAATTAAATATTTTTATTACTCTTTATAATAAAAAAAAAATTAAAGTAGGAAACGACGATTTTTGTTAGGATCATTCATTTGTTTATTTCTTATCGTACACGTTCTAAATTCAATTTTAAATAAATAAAAGACGACCAAAAATGTTTTACATTCGAACATTAACGAACAAATAATTAAAAATAAAAAAAATCCGAAAATCAAAACCAGCGCTTGCACATTGTAGGCATGAGGTGATGGTTTGCTTATTAGATATAAAATAATTAATAATTGGGAACTTAATTGTTGATCTGAGACATCTATAGCCGCACGTAAAACAGATTCCTGTCGTGGCAACGCATGCCGTGGCGACGCGTCGCCACGCTATATGATAGTATATATATACAGTCTTTATGCAGTAGTGTACGGTGTGGCGACGCGTCGCCCTGCATAATCGACTGTGCGATTCTCTCCCAATCGATCCGGCGTTAAGCCATCTCTCTCACTACACTGAGCTCGGATACCTATAGTGTATACTCCGTAGTGTATACAGTGTTGNCGTGGCAACGCATGCCGTGGCGACGCGTCGCCACGCTATATGATAGTATATATATACAGTCTTTATGCAGTAGTGTACGGTGTGGCGACGCGTCGCCCTGCATAATCGACTGTGCGATTCTCTCCCAATCGATCCGGCGTTAAGCCATCTCTCTCACTACACTGAGCTCGGATACCTATAGTGTATACTCCGTAGTGTATACAGTGTTGTTTACTACAGTACACATAACCTGTGTTTTACTTGAAAACAAATAATTTTTTCGTAATATTTTATTTTATCATTATGACATATTTAGTTCCTATCACAATCTGTTCTTTTATGCATATTACTTTTACAAAATAATGTCGATGTTTCACATCTGCCAGGCGTCCCATGACGAATGTGTTTTTTTATTTTTATGATCGAACAATCACCAATAGTCGTCAAACAAACGACAATTGAACAAAATTAATTAATCTGAGCAATAAAAATAAATATATCTAGTAAGGGTGGCAACTTAAGGGTGATCATTTGTTTAATTAATTATAAATAAATAGAAGACGAACAAACAATTAAAAATAAAAAAAACCGAAAATCAAAAAAAGAAGGGCCAAATTTAGTAAGCCTTTAATTTCTAATGCCGGTCACTCACATTCGCACGAATACGCAAACCCGCAAGTGTAGCACGACATTTGCAAATAATTATGCAAAGTTTTCGCTGCATTCGTGGTTTTCCAAGCTGTGTCGGTTTTTTAACAGACATCAAAGCACGCGAACCGCGATCCTTCGCGTAGTCTCCCACACATTCATTCGTGTGACCAGTTGCGCCCAGGATTGCAAAGGCAACGGACGTTTCGCTATTTTCATAGATCGTGACGTCTACTGTGTAGCGTATCTTCATCAAAAGAAATCCCATAAAAACAGCATGGCTGTTAATGATGTCTGGGAAAGAATTCAAAACTCTTTTTCTCTTCAATGTTCTATTGACGAATTAAAAACGAGGAGACATTCGTAAACAAGTGTAGGAGGAAGCGCAAACGGGTTCGCAAATTGAGTACCGAACCCATTTGCACAGCCGCTAAGTTTGCGAATGAATGTTTGATGGCCCTTCACATGCGCGCAAACATTCGTACAATGTACGAATATTTAAGCGCATGTGAGTGGCCGGCATAAGACTAAGAACTCTAATCACTCTGTGGACTTTGTGAGAATTCTGTGTTCCAAATCCAAATATTTAAAACCTTAAACTACAATCTCGCTTGTTTTGAATCGCAGCTGAGAAATATATATTGTCTCTACTCTTCCTGTTAGAAAATATATATCGTTCTCCCTTACCTCAACAATTTTGAATTAATTTTGAGCAATAATTTCTGCAAAACCGAAATAATAAAGTTAAAATTTTTATGAACTTAAAGCTTAAACGTAAGTGTCTGTGATAATGAAAAAGTTTAAATACGTCCTTTTTAGCAAAATGTATACTTGTGAGTATATTTTAATTAATCATAAACAATAGCAAAAGTTTCCTCTTTCTATCTAACTTTTGAACTAATGTCATTGGTAATGAACTTCAGGAAAACTGCCCCGAACCCTGAACTGAGAAGCTTTTCCTTTCTTCAAGTACCTAGGTTAATCAAAACCCAAATTTTATCTTTATAGAATTATTTAAAGAGAGCGAAAGTAATGAAATTCTGTACATTATACGAATCATTGAAAGCAATTACTCAGAGTTGGATTTACATTAGGCACAAGTGCTCAAGGCGGCAATATAATAATTTTTTTCCGTAACCGAATAAGAGTTGAAAATATGAATTAAAAAGAAGAAAAAAAAATCTTTACCGTAAAGCACTGGAGTGTACTTTTGTCTCGCCTACAAAGATTTTTATATTTTAACCGTGTACCTTTATTTTTTTAGTTGATGTTCAATGAATTTACTCAAATTTGAAGATAATGTCGTTTTTCAATGAATAGCTACAGTATTTAATTTACACTGAACAACTAACAAATACATAAGTTTCTAAGGTAGGCAAGTTTGGAATTGCCAAATCTCTTAAGATATATCTGATGTTCTCTTATTACTTCTATCAACTCAATTTATGAGATAAATAGCCCGTGAGAACAAACAATTCACAGAATGAGATAAATATACAATCATACACTCTTTTATGTCCAATATTGTGGGCTTCTTCCAACATAGAATTTTATTATTCCTTATGAGCTGTTAGTTTGTTCTTTATCATTTATTTCATGTATGTGAATGATCAGTTCATTCTTTTTCTTATCCAACCACACCTGTCATGTCTCTATCTTAGTTTATTTATGTCCTGTGAAAGAGNTTCACAGAATGAGATAAATATACAATCATACACTCTTTTATGTCCAATATTGTGGGCTTCTTCCAACATAGAATTTTATTATTCCTTATGAGCTGTTAGTTTGTTCTTTATCATTTATTTCATGTATGTGAATGATCAGTTCATTCTTTTTCTTATCCAACCACACCTGTCATGTCTCTATCTTAGTTTATTTATGTCCAGTCATTGTATGTCCTGTGAAAGAGGTTGCACACCACAACATCCTTGAATGGTCTGTTAGTTCTTTGTCATCTATTGTATTTTAAGAAGGGTATTTTAAAATGACCAGTGCCACTTCGTTGGTTTCTTTTAGAATCACACCTGTCAAGTTTCTCTTAGTTTATGTCCAGTCATTGTAGGTTGTATGTCCTATCAAAGAGGTTGCATGTCACCTTATCAGTCTATAAATGATAAGTATTTTGAAGGAAAAATTTTTGGTCATATTATTATGGATGGTAGTATATTATACTTAATGGATTGACCAAATATTGAAACACTGACTAAACTGCCCTTCAGACAAGTGTAAAATGTGCAGGACAGTGGCATCAAACAATACCGTAAGGCAACATATGCCAAAACCACTATTTGAGATGGGAATTATAGGGTGGAATAGATCATACTAAGTAGTAAAAGAAGTTGAGTAATAGAAGTAATAGTTTACTTCTATTACTTGGTTATGGGGTAACCGTAATAGTGGATGAGACCAGTGTTGCATATTATGAACTATCATCTTCGGAGTAAATAATAATTCGGACCAATATTCTCATGTATTTATTGTGCCTCTGTTGTCTGCCTTTATGACTGATTAAGCATAACCTATGTACTATCTATCCATAACTACTTTAATAAAACGTTGTACACTAATATAGTATAAAAAAGTAAATAAGACATTAAATAAATAAAAAGCAGACTAAACAAGGTTCCTAACATAATCCACCACTCCTGTTCAAACTTGAGGCTTAGCTTATTACAGATCGCTAGTGGATTATTTTGAAAAATCTTTTTTTACCTTTCTTTTCTCTTTAGACAGGTGATCAAGCTCATGGCCCACTTATTGTTAAATGGTTACTGGAACCCATATAGACATCAAGACAGTAAATGCACCACCAATCATATTGGTCTCATTTCTATAGTACATTGGCTGCCCCATGAAAAAACCCGAAGAAAGTATATTAATGTTTGTTTTATAAAATGCTGCACCCAACAGAATTTATTTTTCCCTAGTATTGGTAAAATGTGAAGCCAGTAGAGCCGTTTAGGTGGACTATGCAGTGAATAACATGTACAGAAGAAGTGAATGTATAAAAAATATCAGATAGTCTTCAATCATATTTTAGTGTAATTTTAGTGAAATATTGCAAAATATTTGAAATATTTTTTATCACAATGATATCACAATGAGAATATCTCCCCTTGCTTTTCACTGTTTTTTTCCTGTTACAGAATTTGACATTTAATTACTTAAGTAAATAAGACAGTAAACAGGAACTTTTCTGTTTTTGTAAAATATAATGCTGCAAAATATGTTGCTTTGAGAAATTTTTATTTATAGCTGGTGATAGACCCTGAGACCTGCTTCAGGATATCCTCATGGCATAATTATGTGCCTCATGATTGATTATTCATTGCTTAGTTGACCCGGACGATTGCGCTACGGATTCGATTCCCGGTCGAAGTCATGAAATAAGTTCGACTCGCAAGTGCATTTACCATCGGATCACAATTACGACCCACTAGGATGGTCCGGCAAAAAATCAGTGGGCTGATGTTATGGGCTAAGTGTCGTGCCGAACTTATCAACGAATTTGGCAAGTACGGTCACCTGTATATCGTTACTGGTAGCATTATAACTAGAAATGTCCAACAACACTGAAAGTGGATCAACTAGATCCAATTTTTTTTTCCTACTTAAACTGGTAGCCTTGAGAGGCTATGCAAGCGTAGCCGAGCTAGTAGGTGAGCTCACGGGTCTTAAACCTGTCGACGTTGCGAACACTAACCATAGCAAGAGCAGTGCTTCGCAGAAACTACCACCGGACCGGAAACGCGACCCACTGAGAAGATCCGGTGAGAAACTCAGTGGGCTGTGTCTGTGGGTTAATTTACTCGCCGAGCCCTTCGTTGCAAGGGACGGGTTCGACGAGAACAATGACCGATGTTCGAGGTACCTAAAAGCACCGTTAGTGGATCGGGAGGTTCCGATATGACGTGTTTAGATCCATCAACGCGCGTCTAACGCATAGAAGATGGCTGCATGCTGATTTGTAGTGTAGTTAGTGACGAACACGATAGGCGTTGTTGTGTCGAATAAAGAGAATTCGAGTTTACATACGAGAAAATCCTAGCTTGTTGTCCTTCATAATGTTCCTTTTTTAACATTCCACATTCCAAATCATATCCTATCGTCCTACTTAACCCTCATTCTGATTCTCATCTTGATTTCCAAACTTGAATATGTGTTCTTTCACATATTCTGTCGTAAACACATTAGGCGCAATAACATATCAATATATCTGTATTGGTGTCATGTGGTACATCTTTTTTTTTTTTTTTATTGCCTTTGTAGGCAGACGAGCATACGGCCCACCTGATGGTGAGTGGTTACCGTCGCCCATGGACTTCAGCAATGCCAAGGGCAGAGCCAAGCCGCTGCCTATCGTCTAATCATGTTATACTGAACCATATTTAACGAGACACGGTCTTGAATAATCATGTAAATTATATTGTGCTCTAAAACGTATTAATTACTTAATTTATTTGCGACAAAGACCGATAAATAATTCCGTCATAACAGCTAATGTCATATGTTCCAAATCATGCGAGTTTGAAAGGCTCTCAAGTTTTCCGGGTTAATTTGATGTAGTATCTCAGTAAGGACTCGTGGTTCGTGCAATCGTTGAAATGGCACTGCTGGTGTTAACGAAACGATTGCTTGGACCGTCTATTTACCTTGAAATACGAAAACTAGAGGAGACAAGAAAGAGAGAGAGAGTTATTATTAGACTTTTAATAAAGACTTCGAGCACCGTATCTGTTAAACGGATAGGTCAATCCAATATTTTTTTTATTTTTGAGAGGAGATCCGCTAAATCTGCTGATTGTAATATATCCTCTCCTGCGTTACAAACTTTTATTTTACCACCAGGAGTGAAGTTCATTCCTGCTACCACGGACAGTGTGTTTTCGTAGGTCATTTTCCTCCGGTGATCCTTACTTTGCGATAAGCGATAGCGAGCCCGCTGTAACTAATGGATTGTTGGTGTCCATAGACGGCAATAAACGCTATCAAAGAGGCCGCCCGGTCTTTTCATAGTTTCAACCACTGCACTTAAAGTGTGTTGTCAAAAAACTAAAATAACCGTTGATACTAAACTTTATGATCTTTATATCTTGTCTATTGTCTATTTTTGATGTAAAGAATATAAATATCATGTTCACTTCCAGTGGTTACATACTTCGTGACGTCACGTATAGTACCCTCAGTTTTAAAACTTGAATCACCGTTACGTGGTTCTCCCGTAAAATATTTCTTCCAAAGATGGCGATGTCTTTGTTTAACAACTCGGACGTGGATTGGTAAAACTTTTTCAAGAAAAAGAGATTTTAAATTTAAGGTTTTAATTTATAGGTAGTATGTACTTTACTACCTACTTTTAATACTTTAAAAGTCGATAAAGTCTGATGTCACCGGTGCTATTTTCAGACTCGGATATGCCAATTCTTAGACTTGAAACTAGCACATTACTTAATATTTATAATCGTTTTGCTGTTTGTGTATGAGCAGTAGTAGCATTTCTTCATCCTGAAAGCTTTCCATGATTACATGATTAGTAAGTAGGTAGTCGTTTATTTAATGACACACAAATAGACAACAAAAAAAAATAACAAAAACCTGTTTCGATGTTAGACGTATCCTTAGACAGACGGCAGACAAGTATACCTACGGCTTACTTGTAGTCGTTATCGCTTATAAAAATAACCGTTGCCTTCTGAGGACTCCTCAAACCTCATTTGAAGAAGGACATGCATGATTCCAAGGCTGAATGGTACAACTTTTATTTACCACTTTCTTTGTTTGTTTTAAATTTCTCATGCGTAGCAGGACTTGCGATGTTAAGGTGTTTATTAAGCTGGTAGTGGTCACATAGCAAGAAAGTCCTCTGACAACCTGGTGAGACTCATAGTGATGGGTAAAGTGGATGGAAGATGATCCAGAGACGGAGCGACCAAGTGTCCGAGCATCTGGACACGAGACTGAGCCACGCACTTTACTGTGCCACTGACCGACATAAGTGGCTACAAAAAAGTACAAAAAAGGTCACAGGCGACATCACGATGCCCAGCAANTGGTCACATAGCAAGAAAGTCCTCTGACAACCTGGTGAGACTCATAGTGATGGGTAAAGTGGATGGAAGATGATCCAGAGACGGAGCGACCAAGTGTCCGAGCATCTGGACACGAGACTGAGCCACGCACTTTACTGTGCCACTGACCGACATAAGTGGCTACAAAAAAGTACAAAAAAGGTCACAGGCGACATCACGATGCCCAGCAAAGAGCGACTCAGGGAGGAGGAGGAGGACAGTAGATAACAAATTCTTATAGGCGCTCATAATTTTAATAAACATCCCTCCTGGCCTGCTACTGTAGGTAATTTGCCTTTTGCATTCTGAAAACGGGACTTACAGTCTTATTCATAATGCATTATCTAAGCTGCAGCTTTTATGCATAAATCCGTTATATACCTAATGACTTACAAAAAGCTTATATTTAAGATGCAATAATTCTATTGTTTGTTAGCTTTGATAATTATAAATTGAGCTGGTCGGTCAGCAAAAACATGCACGAGAATGGGTATGTCATTTAAGTAAGTTCTGAGTAGGTATATATATTTTTTATGAATTAGTAATGTAGCTAATTTAGTAAGTTATTATAAAATCCAGAAACATCGCAAGCGGTAACATATAAGCTTGGAGTCTTGACTTTTAGACTATTTAAAACTAAGCCCAATCCTAATTTACACAAATTACGTAATATAGGTTGCCATTTCAAGGTCTAATCGTAAGAAAATGTCTTGAGAGCTACTCAAGATCAACAATAGCGTTTCAAGGAGGCATTAATGAAAAGTGCTTATTTGAATGGGAACATTGTGAATGAGCCAATCAGTCTGATTGATCCTTTACTTAAAATTACAAATCGGATTGTTATCGGTCGCTCGTATTGTTTGAGAAACAAAAGTTTCGGTGTTCATCGATTTGTGGTTTGTTAATTACATAAATTTAAGTACACTGTCGTGTCTAAAAGCTTCGATAACTATGTACTAAATATCAAAAACAAATACTAGATAATTAAGTCCTATACTGCGTTAACCCCGATAAGCATATTCGTTCAGATAACGTAGACCGACTTTTTTACTAAATAATTTATTTATTGTCGTGGTCGCGTAATAAATAATGTATTTAAAATATATGGACCATTTCGAAATTCGGACTCACGGGCCCTGTTGATATCATTGGCATTGAGGCGGGTACTAGGTACATTATGAAAAGACACTACAAAATAAATGTTAAATTTTAGTTTCATTTTCACCTTCGTCACAATCTGCCCAGACTATGGTCTTAAAGTACCGCTGCTGTAGAGATTCATCGCGCCTCTGGCTCCTTACAGTTTCCCAATAAAATAACCATGTTCAAACCAACGTAAATGGGAAATAACGCGGATAAAATCACAAATTCTACCACCAGGACAAGGCTGCTTCTGTTTGGAAATAATGTTAATATTAGAATAGTAAGCTAATAAATATTTGAGTCATAGTTTGAACCTCACGTTAACAAAATTAAAATTTGCTACTGAAACATACCACTGGGAAAATTCAGTACCATTTCGTAACTCGGGGGAGACGCACGTCGTTCGGTCCCAAGTTTCCCGCCAACATGTACACGAGAGGTAATGCGAATTCTCATTCAAATATAACCGGATAGTATTAAATAATTTAGTTTAGTTTATTGTTCTTTAGTGACATGTATTTACTCCTTAATTACCTGATTAAATACGATTGCTTAAATTAGCATTCTATTAATGTAGAGTTTTTAAACAATAAGTCAAGTACATAAAGAAAATGCTCCTCGATGAACATTGATGAATATCGAAATTGGACAATATAACAGAAGAAAAGAATTATAAAGTTGGCGGCTTGAAATAAAATCCTCTTACTTTTTAATCAGCCATTTATTAAATCGGCTTAAACTGTTAATAAAATAATTCCAAATTTCAAATGACTTACTTTGAATATCGGTGTTATTTTATTTTCTTTCATTGTGCTTTTAGTAAATGTAGTTACATGACATATAATTTGATTGCCCTTGTAAGGACGGGTAAACCCTCCCGGTGTTGAGTGGTTACCGTCGCCCATGGACATCAGCAATGCCGTGGACAGAGCTAAGCCTATCCTTAAAAATATATATATCATTTATATGTAAATCAAATAATTTTGCTCCTCACTTTGCCTAGTCATAAGGCAATTAACTATAACTCTGTCTTATAATAAGTTATGATTTTCTCTACGCAATTAATTTAATATTAAAAAATACGTATTTTATTTCAGTTAAAACGTTGGTGCTAATTCTTGCCTACATAGAGTATGTGTCGAGTTTTGGTAAGTTTCTTTTTCTCCATAGTATTCAATTATTTAACTAAGTTGTATCTTTGGTGTCCTCTTTGAAATGATCTATTAGCAAATCACTGTATTCACTGACAAGCATATTTGTTAATTATTTACTGTTCATTAATTGTATTCGAATATACGTCATTTCAATTCAAAATAATGTATGTAGCTAATTATATTTTCATTAATCAAATTATTGAAGACAAAACATAACTAAGACTTCATTAACTAAAGTCGATACAATATCTACTATTTATCTATCGAAGCAGACACTATATTAATTTAATTAATATATTGTCCACTTCTGATGCTAAAAATATTATAATAGGTTTAATTTTCATTGAAATTTTTGAAGCAAAACATAACCATGACTTTATTAACTAAAGTTGATACAATTTCTGCTATATATCTGTTGGAGTGATGTGAACTAATACTAACGTGGATACAAGCTTACACGTCTACAACGTAAATGCCGCCACCCACCTTGAGATATCAGTTCTAAGGTCTGAGTATAATTACAACGGCTGCCCCCCCTTCAAACCGAAACGCATTACTACTTCACGGCCGAAATAGCCAGGGTGGTGGACCCGTGCGGACTCACAAGATATCCTACCACCACTATATTCACAAATTCCGCTGCCATCTTGAGACAACGTTGTCTGCTCTGTATACTTCTACAATACCCAATAGTAGAACTGTTGAAATAACAATAAGGAATTCACTAGTGGTAATTAATGCTAAAACTACAATTGCTAATATGAAAGAAACAGTAATAGCTTCAGGGTCGCGGAAACTTTTTTCTAATTAATAGACGGAAATCATTATCATCATCATCATCAGAGGCATTACTGACGCTGGTCAGGCTTTAGCCCTGTTCAGTAAAATACCCCAGAACAGAAAATACTGTTCATAATATTGGAAACAATAATCATTAAGATTATGAAGTTAAGATGCCTATTTCTGCCGTGAAGCAGTAATGCGTTTCGGTTTGTTACTATTGTTGATCGAAGGTTTGAAGGGTAGGGCAGCCGTTGTAACTATATTGAGACCTTAGAACTCATTCGCGTATAGAGTGGCGGCATTTGCATTGTAGATGTCTATGGGCTCCGGTAATCATTTAACACCAGGTGGGCTATGAGCTCGTCCACCCATCAATGCAATAAAAATAATTTTCAACAGCCGTAATGAGATGTTAGGGCTGTTGGAATTGGAAAAATTACTTAGCAGAACGAAGCCTTATCCATTGTCCACCCATACCGATACACCATAGCAAAAGACTTTTCGGAGAACATATTTTAGGTCCAGACAACGCGAAGAATTCCTGCATAAGTACCTACTCAGCTCACAGGCAAACATAAGCTTAATGTGATTCACAGTGACTGATTTGAACTCCCTCATAGGCTGCCTCATATAAATAATGATCAAAATGCTATGAACATTGTCTCCCACTTCAGTCTCGAATTTTCCGACCAATTGATGCATAAGTAACCAGCCACTGTGCTGTTGAAATCATCTATTGAAAAAAAAAAAATTAATGTAGACATAATTTGACACTTTGATTATTGGATCGCGAAAAATACACGGCTTTACGTTTCCATACGATTAGTCGCGTCTCATCGGCTGCCTCAAGACTCATGCTCCGTTAAATACTGATCAGTCCTTTCGTTACTTGAAATAAAATATGATCCTGATTCATCCTGCGAGCTAAAACGAAGTAAGGATTTTTATGATTCTTTTGACGATGTAGATTTTTTGTTAGTTAAATGGGGGCTCGTGCTAATGGACAACCTGGCGTTAAGTGGTTATTAGTGCCAATAGACATCAGCAACGTAAATGTTGCTACTTATTTAGATACATCAATTTTGAGTCTCAGTTTTATAGTACAACGGCTGCCCCACTCTTCAGACCGCAACGCATTACTGCTTTACGGCAGAAATAGGCAGGGTGCTAGTACCCACCCGTCAGTAATTAAGAAAATTATAATTTTTCCTGGTTTGATTTTTATTACACGTTGATATTCCTTCATTGTGGAAGTAATTTGTGAACTTGTTTAACTAAGGTGGGTGGCACGGCATTTACATTGTAGATGTCTATGGGCTCCGGTAACCATTTAACATCAGGTGGACCGTGAGCTCGTCTAACCCTCTAAACAATTAAAAAAAAAACTTGAATATGTATATAGTATTGCTGAAGTCCATTAGTGGCTGTGGCCGTTTAAAAGCAAATGAGCCGTGTGCTCGTCCAATGTTTTGTTAGTAAAAGATTATAGTTTAACGTTTTTATTCATAAACAACTACAGAATGGCATCGGACGTCTGTAGGTTTTCGTGTCCTTGGAAATAATTATCCAGATGTCGTCTAGCGTTTAGCCTCAGATATTATCTTTTCACAGTGTGATATTATCTCAGCCGATATTATCAAATCACCGGTGGTAATTTATCGTAAAACCTACAGCGAGAACAATTGGTTTCACATAACAAATAAACAATTACCTTGTAATTACATAATTGAATTAGGATTCCGAATTGGAACTCATTAAAATACAATAGCAATGTTTCCACTTAACTTTGCTTAAATGCGAAACAGGATCGGGCGTCACATCACTTTGTGTATCAACTTTAAAGTAATTCACACAGTCCTGTTCTCTGCACAGGTTAGACAGATTTTTTTTAAAAATAAAGACGAATATTTTTTATATATTTTTAGTGGTGGTAGGAGCTTTTGTGAGTCCACGCGGGTACGTACCACCATCCTGCCTATTTCTGCCGTGAAGCAATAATGCGTTTCGGTTTGAAGGGTGGGGCAGCCGTTGTAACTATACTTGAGACCATAGAACTTGTATCTCAAGGTGAGTGGCGCATTGACGTCGATGTCTATGGCCTCCAGTAACCACTTAACACCAGGTGGGCTGTGAGCTCGTTCACCCATCTAAGCAATAAAAAAAATTTAAATATGGAAAATAAAATCTTTACAGAATATCTAACAGCACCAACGACTACTTAACGATTAATATGCTAATTGTGCACAAAAAACACAATAATACTTCACCCAATTTCCAATTTTTTAACCATATAGTGTTCGGTATACCTACCGACACACATGTAACATAGTAGCTTACCACTAAATTAATCTTTGTGAACTATTATAACCATAGTATCTGTGTTATTTGTAGTGAATAAACACATGTGTTATATTGTAATTGTTTTCATTTATTGGCGTGAGTCTCCCAGAGCGGTAAGTGGTGGCGCCCTGAGATCCTCCTCACAGAGTCTCCTGTTCACCGGTTGTCTACCGGTGGTGACGTGTCTAGAAGTGGTGCGACTCGGCCCCGTGTCTCTCGACCCATAGACCACCTTTTGGGGAGTGACGCGACTGGGCCTCATGTAACATCAGCATACCAGGGACACCCTTAGACACAGACACGTTATACCCATAGTTTCAAAAAACTTAGAAATTGTACTAGTAACGGCATAAGTAAACATAATACTTTCTAAAGGTGCTTAACAACGATCTAAGCGTATACTTAGCGAAGTCAAGCATGTAGTTACTTCGTTTTCGTATAATACGTCCCGTAGGAAGCTTAAGGACTTTTAGACTTACTCCTAAGAATGAAAGCTTGGTGAAGTTCTTCGACATCAAACACAAATCATGTTATATGTTCTTACATTTTATGGGTCTCTTTTGTTAAAAGTAGTATAATTCTTTATAAAAACACTGTTACAGTTTAATCTCGTGTTTGTTTTACGTCGTGTTTTTTTTATTTTTTTTTATTGCTTAGATGTGTGGACGAGTTCACAGCCCACCTGGTGTTAAGTGGTTACTGGAGCCCATAGACATCTACAACGTAAATGCGCCACACACCTTGAGATATAGTTCTAAGGTCTCAGTATAGTCACAACGGCTACCCCACCCTTCAAACCGAAACGCATTACTGCTTTACTGCTTCACGGCAGAAATAGGCGGGACGCTGGTACCTACCCGTGCGGACTCACAAGAGGTCCTACCACCAGTAATTACGCAAATTATAATTATGCGGGTTTGATTTTTTAAATTATTTCCGAACTTTATTTACTTCCTACTATATACAAAAAATGTAGGAGAGAAAGCTGTTGTTACGTGTATGTTACTTAGTAAAATGGTGTGTTGAAGACAATTATATTAAAAAAAATCGTGTCATAAATTAAATGGTATTCTGGTTACGGCTTTATTAATACTAGATCATGAGTTATCTCATCAAATTGATGACCAAATGAGTGATAGATACCCTTGAAATCATTGACCTAACAAAAGTCTTTCATTACAAATTGTTGTCGTGAACAGTTTAAAATCGTTGATCGATAAACTAAAAATAATGCCTAAATAATAGGCTGTTTTCATGTAACAACTTCAAATTGTACGACGCTCGAACGTAAACTAATAATTTTGGATTCCACAGGGTGCTATTCTGAAGCTTGTATCGTACCTACGACTTATGAGGTTAAGTGGTTTTAGAAAATAATTGCATATCATAAGATATGAAAATTTGTTTAGTGTGTTTTGAAAAATCGCCCCTTTATTTTGCCTTTGCAGCGAATTAATGCGAAGCAATTGCTCTTGAGTTGTTAGGTCCCCTTCGGAGGCGCTCGAGCAGTTGTTAGCAAATCCCAACACTCCTGGGTGAGCATTTGCTCGTCCACCTGTCCTGGTGAAACTGGAAAGGCCTTCGGGCCACCAGTAATCTTTCAATCATAAAAAAGGCGAATTAATTCATCAAAAAGACTGGTAAAAACTTTATCTTAAATCATTCTCTCACTGCTGGTATTTTCAGGTTTGCAGTGCTGCGTTGTCCCGAATTTTCACGTGCCTAGTGATCAGACTATTTTTTAGCTCTCTGAATTTTTTCCTTTCGGCTTACTCACGAATAATAAATAGTCTCTCCACACAATGCGTTCCTCTTTATAAAATATCCATAAAGAGCACTTAAACTTTAATTGAATTCCAAAATCAAACACG